AATAAATTACCCGTGGCCACACCACTAAGAAGGTACAAATCTGGCAATCTAACCCAGGCAGCTTGGCTCCAGACTCTGTGCCCTTGACTACTATGCTAGGCTTTGCAAAAATTACAACAGAAGTTATATTTTGTATTCCAAATTTGCACTGGATAATTTCAACCTTCCTTGATATTTCATATGATGCTAGTGATTATCTCACTAATAAGTCTAAGTATTCAAGGAATAATGCCAGTTCTAACTGGAATTAGTATTTTGCATCTACTTTCCATTTCTCTTCTAGGCACTGGTTACATTAGCATGGGGCTTAAAAGTAAACCAAACAAGAAGGGAACAAAGGAAGGTACAAAAGAGTACGCCATTCCTTTCAAAGTTCTTTCTTCTTTTTCGTTATGCTATGGACTGTATTTCTTTTATTGCATATACCTGACTGCATTAGCACATTTGATTTATGCAGAATGCTCCAACAGTGCATAAATTAATAAGGCTTCAGGACACCGTCAACAAAAACCATCCCTTTCTTTAACTGTACATCCTAAGAAAAACTTCAAAAGACTGCAGTTAGAAAACACTCATGTAATTCCGTTTGAGACACTGGTCCTTGTGCTGTAAAACATTGCGAAGCCTGTGTCAGTGGATTTATAGAGCCAACGAAGAATAACATTCTCTTATCGGATTGTTTGTCTCCCGTGGTTTCCCTCTGAAAGCAATAATTTTGAGATTGAGTTAATCATATCCTAAGCATAGAAAATTCTACACATTTTGAAACGGTACTTTCACTGTGTTGATGAGGGTGTTTTAAGAAAAGCAAAGAAAGAAAGGAACCATGCTTTCCAGGCAGATAAACAGAAGAGCTCGGCTAGAAGGAGGTGGTGCCTTTTGACTAACTGGCAATGCCAAAGAAGCTGGGTGATTTATGATATGACCAACCCTGCCAAGGCGAGATTAAGGAGCACCCACCCGTAGAAGTCAGGTACATGGCAAATGAAATACCTTATTTGAGTAATAGCCACTTGGATAAAATTCTGGATTCTAGAGCAAGGGAATTATCAAACTCTGGATTTCAACCAGTCTACATCTCAATATTTCACATAAACAGATGATATAATCGCCACATATATATTTCCTTTGGCACTTACTGTTATTTTAAAATCCCAGTTTGTGGTGCCAGCAAGCTTTCTTAGATTCAAGGATGTGAATGCAAAACAGTTACTTTTCATTAGTTTAATCCTACATGAAATTTTAAGGTTTTCATGCTTTTCAAAGGGGGCACATTCATTAAAATTAGGAACAAAATACCATTATAAACAGTAATTAATATGCTTTTAAATATTGTGTTATTAGATACACATTCATGCAAAGAGCTTCTTAAAAATTTTGAAGATGAACATATCCACTTAAATGCTGGACATCTGCCCAGTTTAACTAGTGGACACAAAGTAAGGGATTTGCTTTATCCTCATGTTAGCCCTGAGCACAAGTCCCAACTTAGAATCATTCATTCATTTACTAATTGATTCATTATGCAAAATGTGTTGATTCTGTTGTGTGGCAGCACTGTTATTCTGGGCTCTGGGACAAAGTTCTAGCTCTCACAGAGCTTACAGTTTAGAAGGGAAGACAAAGAGCTAGTCTAGTCCAGTTCAGTCGCTCAGTCATGTCCAAATTTTTGCAACCCCATGGACTGCAGCATGCCAGACTTCCCTGTCCATCACCAACTCCTGAAGCTTGCTCAAACTCATGTCCATCGAGTCAGTGATGCCATCCAAACATCTCATCCTCTGTCATCCCCTTCTCCTGGCTTCAATCTTTCCCAGAATCAGGGTCTTTTCCAATGAGTCCGTTCTTCCCATCAGGTGGCCAAAGTATTGGAGTTTCAGCTTCAACTTCAGTGTTTCCAATGAATATTCAGGGTTGATTTCCTTTAGGATGGACTGGTTGGATCTCCTTGTAGTCCAAGGAACTCTCACGTGTCTTCTCCAACACCACAGTTCAAAAGCATCAATTCTTTGGCACTCAGCCTTCTTTATAGTCCAACTCTCACATCCATACATGACTACTGGAAAACCTTAGCTTTGACTATGTGGACCTTTGTTGGCAAAGTAATGTCTTAGCTTTTTAATATGCTATCTAGGCTGCTCATAGCTTTTCTTCCAAGAAGCAAGCATCTTTTAATTTCATGGCTGTAGTCACCATCTGCAGTGATTTTGGAGCCCCCAAAAATAAAGTCTGTCATTGTTTCCATTGTTTCCCCATCTATTTGCCATGAAGTCATGGGACCAGATGCCATGATCTTAGTTTTCTGAATGCTGAATTTTAAGCTAGTTCTTTCACTCTCCTCTTTCATGTTCATCAAGACGCTCTTTAGTTCCTTTTCACTTTCTGTCAAAAGGGTGGTGTCATCTGCATATTTCAGGTTATTGATGTTTCTCCCAGCAATCTTGATTCCAGCTTGTGCTTCATCCAGCCCAGCATTTCACATGATGTACTCTGCATATAAGTTAAATAAGCAGGGTGACAATATACAGCCTTGATGTACTCCTTTCCCAATTTGGAACCAGTCCATTGTTCTATGTCCAGTTCTAACTGTTGCTTCTTGACCTACAGATTTCTCAGGAGGCAGGTAAGGTGGTCTGGTATTCCCATCTTTTGAAGAATTTTCCACAGTTTTTTGTGATGCACACAGTCAAAGGCGTTAGAGTAATCAATGAAGCAGAAGCAGATGTTCTTCTGGAACTCTCTTGCTTTATCTATGATCCAATGGATGTTGGCAATTTGATCGCTGGTTCCTCTGCCTTTTCTAAACCCAGCTTGGACATCTAGAAATTCTCAATTCACGTACTATTGAAGTCTCACTTGGAGAATTTTGAGCATTACTTTGCTAGCGTGTGAGATGAGCACAATTGTGTGGTAGTTTGAACATTCTTTGACAATGTCTTTCTTTCGGATTGGAATGAAAACTGACCTCTTCCAGTCCTGTGGCCACTGCTGAGTTTTCCAAATTTGCTGGCATATTGAGTGCAGCACTTTTATAGCATCATCTACTAGGATTTGAAATAGCTCAACTGGAATATCATCACCTCCACTAGCTTTGTAGTGATGCTTCCTAAGACCCACTTGACTTTGCATTCCAGGATGTCTGACCCTAGGTGAGTGATCACATCATGGTTATCTAGGTCATGAAGATCTTTTTTGTATAGTTCTCTTGTATATTCTTGCCACCTCTTCTTAATAGCTTCAGCTTCTGTTAGGTCCATACCATTTCTGTCCTTTATTGAGCCCATCTTTGCATGAAATTTTCCCTTGGTATCTGTAATTTTCTTGAAGCCATCTCTGTATTTCTTTGCATTGATCACTGAGGAAGGCTTTCTTATTTCTCCTTGCTATTCTTTGGAACTCTGCATTCAAATGGCTTTATCTTTCCTTTTCTTTTTTGCCTTTTGCTTCTCTTCTTTTCTCAGCTATTTGTAAGGTCTCCTCAGACCACCATTTTAACTTTTTGCATTTCTTCTTCTTGGGAATGGCTTTGATCACTGCCTCCTGAACAATGTTATGAACCCCCTCCCATAGTTCTTCAGGCACTCTGTATATCAGATCTAATTCCTTGAATCTACTCGTCACTTCCACTGTATAATCCTAAGGGATTTAACTTAGGTCATACTGAATGGCCTAGTGGTTTTCCCTACTTTCTTCAATTTAAGTCTGAATTTGCAATAAGGAGCTCATGATCTGAGCCACAGTCAGTTCCTGGTCTTGTTTTTTGCTGACTGTATAGAGCTTCTCCATCTTTGGCTGCAAAGAATATAATTAGTCTGATTTTGGTATTGACCATCTGGTGTTGTCCATGTGTAGAGTTGTCTCTTGTGTTGTTGGAAGAGTGTGTTTGCTATGACCAGTGCGTTCTCTTGGCAAAACTCTGTTAGCCTTTGCCCTGCTTCATTCTGTACTCCAAGGCCAAGCTTGCCTTTGTTATTCCAGGTATTTCTTGACTTCCTACTTTTGCATTCCAGCCCCCTATGAAGAAAAGAATATCTTTTGGGGGTGTTATTTCTAGAAGGTTTTGCAGGTTCATAGAACCATTCAGCTTCAGCTTCTTAGGCATTGGGGGTTGGGACACAGCCTTGGATTACTGTGATACTGAATGTTTTGCTTTGGAAAGGAACAGAGATCATTCTGTCATTTTGAGATTGCACTCAAGTACTGCATTTCGGACTCTTGTTGACTATGACAGCTACTCCATTTCTCCTAAGGGATTCTTGCCCACAGTAGCAGATATAATGGTCATATGAATTAAATTTGCCTGTTTCAGAAATAGTTAAGCTAAGTAAATAAATATATTCTATGATAGCAGGTAGAAGACTTACTACTCAAAGTGTGGTCTAGGGACCAGCAGCATCGGCATCACCCAAGAGCTTGTTGGAAGTGTAGCGTCTCAAGCCCCATTTCACACCTGCTCAACCAGAATCTGCAATTTAAGTTCTTTAGGTTTGTTCAGTATCTTGAAGGTGAAGAAGTGTTGGTGTTGGACAGTCACTTGCAATACTGGGTGTGTATGTGAGAACCACCTGAGCAGAGTTTGGATTTAAGTGGTCTGGAGCGGGTTCCAGGTGGCTGGGTCTTTTACAGTTCTCCCAGGAGATTCTTATGTGTGGTTAGTTGAGGACCACTGAAGTAGTTTGTATTCTGGGTGCAAGGGTAATCCCCTGAGGACTGGGATTCGTGAGTCATGTGACCTGATTTACATAAAGAAGGAATTCTTGACGTCACAATAATGGCTGAGCTGTTATCTTTCGCCTCTGTGTCTGACATAATGACACCCACTCTGCAAGGCAGTGACCAGAACATGATGCAGCCACCGCATTGAGCTCCAAGGTCAAACCTCATCCACTTTGCTGGTTCACAAGCAGCAGATAACTCCATCTGAGGAGAGGCAACCACAAGGACATCCACATTCAAGCCAAGATCAGAGTCAGATGCAGTCGCTGTCTCTCATTACATACCTGGGGACCTTTACTTCCCAGATTTCCTTTTTCTCCTTTCATACCAGCTTCTCCTCTCGGACCCTATATATAGAGAATTAAACTGTTATTTTCTCCCCAAAAGAGAACTTCAGAATATTAACTTGAATATTAAAAATGGAAATGCTAAGTCGATAACATGGACAGAAATTAAAAAAAGAACTCCATTCACGCCTTTGGTTCTGTCTTGATTGGTCGACTTCTCCTTCTCTCCAAGGCATAAGGGTCCAATCTAGAGCTTAAATGGCTTGGCATTTGCAGTCAAACTGAAGAAACACTGAACAGCTAAATTTTCCAATATTGCTTTCTAATTATTCTAAAGGATCTTTGTACTAAAATTCATGTATCTGTTACTTTAAAAGTAATTTTTACTTATGTAAATCTGAAACTGGAATAATTAAGTGGATTTTCTATTTAATAACTACACTAAAGATTGGTCATAAATAAGACATAGCACATTGTAAGACAAAATTTAGATAATTGTATGTCTGGAGTATTACGTTTTCTATTAATTTTGGATTCCATATGTTATACAAAGAAAACTTCATACTGTGTTTGGCTTTTGCATCTCATTTTAAATTATAAAAAAGCAAGAGCCTATAAAATGGATGAAAAGATGTAGTATTTCTTGTTTAGCATGAAATTAAGCCAGCCAATCTATTGAAATGCTTCCCCACAATCCCAGTGGCAAATATTTCTCACTTGAAGGTAAGAAAAGTGAACATTCCTCAGTTGCCAAGTCAGACAAACAAAACCAATCAAACTAGAAAGTAGTAAGAGGTCCAAAGGGCAGACTGTTTACTGCTCTGAAATCTTGGTAAAATGTGGATTAACTTTCTCCTCTGATGTTTATGGATATTTTGCCCAACTTCCATGCAGCAAGCTGCCAACATATAAAAGTTACTTCCTTTTTTTTTTTTTTTAAGCTACATAGGTTACAACCTTGAAAAACTGCAGGATCATTGCTGTCCTGCATTTGCTAAAGAGCAAATTTACTTCTCAAGATTTCAAAAGTAAAAGTTTATAGAGAAAAAAACATACTCTAACTTTCTTATCCCTGACCTTTCTTCAGCATTTCTGAGGACCTCCCTTCCCTCCTCATGATTGCTTTAGGCTACATTTTGCTCTTTCTGGCACATGTTTCCTTTCCCTTCATGTAAGCAGTGTTAAGAGCCAACCATGGCTTGTTCTTTGCAAAGGAAAAAGTGCTTGAGGCAGCTCCCTAGAGAAGTGAGCTAGGAAGATGACTATACATCACCCCCACTGAAGACCTCAGCTCTATTCTTTGCTAGGGTAGAGCCAATTTTTCTACATTACAGGCATCCAGATACATAGCTCAATTGACCAAAAATCCCAGTTTTGAGGCCCAGCATTTTATTTGGCTCAAGATCTCCCTAGGATACACCAGTCAGCCTGCACCATTGTATAGGGACCGCTGCCCAGAGTTCATTCCCTTTTCACCTCCTGACTGGGACAGAACCCTTTATAAACATTGCAAGTTCACATATATCACCAACATGTACAAGCACTGTATAAGTCAAGACTGTATTGCTTCCTTACTTCATTACTCTGAAAACACTTGAAACATCTGTACTTTTGCAAGAAGGTTGTATTCTATCAAGGGTTCAGATTCTTCTTTCTGTTTTCATAGCCTGGTAAGTCTTGTTACGTACCTGAGGACCCTTAAGTCCCAGTGACCCTGCAAGTCCATCTGGACCTGGGATGCCCGGTTTCCCCTATGGGGAGGGAGAATCAAACTATTAACAGCATTTTCTCAGAAACTTTGTCTCCTTTATGTGCAAGTTTCTAAATATTTTTGCAATCATGATAACAATGCAGGATATTTGAAAAATAAATGTAAATATAAGAAGGGAAACAAAAATTTTCTATAATCTGAAGTAGAGATAACCATAGCTTAATATGTTGGTGTATTTACTTTCATTCTTCATACACCACATGGATATGTGCATGCACACATGTGCACACACAAACACACACACACTCCCTTCTTTGCCTGTAACACTGGTTATATACTATATCAAACTTGGGTGTTGAATATAGAAACTCACAATTTATTTCACATTTTTTTAAAAGATCTCCATGTATCTATCTTACATTATATTTATATTCAAATATTACATTATATTTATATTCAAATATTTAAATAGGGATCAAAAGTTGATCATTCCCTTCACATTGCTTTTGAACTCTGCCACAGATAAGAATTCCAAATAAGATTAAAAAGTTTAACTTAGATGGTTGGATAGCCTATATTTATGTCTCAGTTGTTACACAGTTAGATGAGATTAACTGTCCCTCACTGATGCATTTTCCTAGAAATAATAAAGAGGAAATTCTTCAACACTTTCTTTCCCCAATCTCATCTCATTCACTTCATATGATTTTTTTTATTTGCTATCCATTTTGTTGCAATCTAACCTTGAAAAGTGTGTGTTTATGTATGTGTGTGTGTGTGTGTGTAGCATCTGTGGATAGTAAATTCTTAGTCTTTATCTATCTGGAAATGTCTTATAATCATTCATAGTATAGCTAGGTATAAAACTGTATGTTATTTTTCTTCTGCACTTGCAAAACATTACTTTGTTGTTTTTGGCAAGTATTATTGTTGACCAGAAGCCTATTGCAATTCTAATTGGTATTCCTTTCATGGATAAAAATGTTTTTTCTCTCTGGTGGTGTTTAAGATGTTTCCTCAACATGCTGGAGTTTTACCATGATGTGATTGTGAATGGATTTATTATTTATCCTTATTGCATTTTCAATCTGAGGATGTGTGCTTCCTCAATTTTGTAAAATTCTAAATCAGTGCTCTTTTATAAATATTGTAAGTTCATGTATAATATATCACCACAATGTACAAAGGGGACATGATATGACAGATGGCATTGTTAACTTTTGAACAAAACATTGAGATTATCCAATTTGTATTAAGGTTTTATTGTACTCTCTTGGTTAAAAAAGGGTTTATGCAAATTATGAACAAGGTTTCAGAGTTAACTGAACAAAAATTTGAAAGAAAGATGTGTGTGTGTGTGTGTGTGTGTGTGTGTGAGTGTAGAATCTGTGGATAGTAAATTCTTGGTCTTTGTCTATCTGGAAAAGTCTTATAATCACTCATAGTACAGCTAGGTATAAAATTGTAGGTTATTTTTCTGAAAACAACCTGAATTACTAGAGTTTGTATTTGAAATCAAACAAAGTTAAACTTAATACTAATTGGGCCAAGCATTGTTTCTGATCTTTAATATTTAGAGTTTTTTTTTTATCAAAGTGCCCATATTTAATTTTCTTTAAAGATTTGAGTTCTTTAAGTTATAGCTTAAAAGTTTTCCCAAATTTGATTCCACAACCAATATTATCAAAAAGCAAAATAAATTTAGACTTTCCAAAGGCTTTATTCAGGCTCCTTGACTGGACACACATTGTTTATCATTTGCAGTTTAGAAAATTAAAAAAAAATAAAAAAAGATCTCTGTACCTGTGGGCCTGTAGGTCCCCTTTGGCCATGAGCTGCCTACAGTAGGGAAAAAAGTAGATATCATTAACCCTGAAAAATTCTTTTTAAAGTTTAACTTAAATTAATAACAGAACCCTTGGGGCATTGACATTAAAACAAAAAGTTACCACATATTGCTTTAAATTACCCACTGCACCATGAAAGCAAAATATTGCCAACTCTGAATTTCTATCCTAGGGCAAAATGAATGAAACCGTAGACAATGTAAATCTATACATACTGGTTGGAACAGATTGTGGTCAGTAATTCATCCTCTATTAAATTACTACTAGAACTTACCATAAGCACCAAAATTGGCTGACTTGAATTGTATTTCTTTTCATTTTTTCAAAGTGCTACCAAGTAAGCCAGAAATTAAGTGTAGAAATGGCCAAAAGGCAGGAAGCCAGAGGAAACACTAGGAGAATTCATGAACATTATTATAGATTGATTTCAGAAGCTAATGACAGAAAAACTAATTTTACCCCTCTTCCCCTTCAAGAAGTCAGATAAGCTTACCTATCAAAAATGAAAAATCAACTTAAGAATTCAAGATTACTCAATTCAGTATGTTAACAAAATACTTGATCAAAAAAGTGGCTAGACTAAATGGATTTTTCCTACTACTCTTATGTATAAAGTGAAAACCTGAGTATTTCTAGATCAATATTTCATAAATATGGGAAACAAGAGACTAAAACATTTTATTGTCTAACTCAGATTATAGCATGACTGATATCCAGGATTGTAAAATTCAATACATATCAGACATTTTTGTGATGGAAATTTATTTGAGATAGTCAAGTCAAATTTTTATGTGAGGCTGGTCTTGAAAATTTTAAATTCTTCTGATTATATTTCAGTCAAGATCTCTTGTTATTTAGGAAGTAGACTATGTGTCTGGGGATATGATTAGAGGCCTCTTTCTTTAACACCAAATGATGAATGTCAAAACGTCCATATCAGAGGGATGAAAAGCAGTTTTTTCTACTCCTTTCACACAAGGGTTTATCTTTTCTGGTTCAATTCACATCAGTTTCATTCAGAAAAATATCTATCCAACATCTACTATCCACAAAATATATAGGATGGGAACCATTGGATCATAAAGGTGACATACAGTCTTTGACCTCAGAAGACCCTCACCACTTGGGTTAGTGGGGAGGAGATAAATGCTACAAGTATTTACAAGGCAGAATATATCAGATGCCATAAGAAAGGGGAATACAGAAATATGGGTTTCTTCCAATTGAAAAATGACTTTATAGACATTTCTCCAAAGAAGAAAAACAGATGGCCAACAGGCACATGAAAAGATGCCCAACATCACTAATTACTAGAGAAGTGCAAATTAAAATTACCATGAGCTACACTTCACACTGTTGGATCATAGAAAAAGCAAGAGAGTTCCAGGAAAACATCTACTTCTGCTTTATTGACTCTGCTGCAGCCTTTGACTGTGTGGATCACAACAAACGGTTGACAATTCTTAAACAGATGGAAATACCAGAGCATCTTACCTGCCTCCTGAGAAATCTGTATGCAGGTCAAGAAGCAACACTTAGAACTGGACATGGAACAATGGACTGGTTTAAAATTGGGGAAAGAATATGTCAAGGCTATATATTGTCACCCTGCTTATTTAACTTCTATGCAGAGAACATCATGGGAAATACTGGGCTGGATTAAGCACAAGCTGGAATCAAGAATGCTGGGAGAAATATCAATAACCTAAGACACACAGATTACACCATCCTTATGACAGAAAGTGAAGAGGAACTAAAGAGCATCTTAATGAAGGTGAAAGAGGAGAGTGCAAAAGCTGGCTTAAAACTCAACATTCAAAAAGCTAAGATCATGACATCCAGTCACATCACTTCATGGCAAATAGTTGAGCAAACTATGGAAACAATGATAGACTTTATTTTGGGGGCTCCAAAATCACTGCAGATGGTGACTGCAGCCATGAAGTTAAAAGATGATTGCTCCTTGGAAGAAAAGTTATGACCACCCTAGACAGTGTATTAAAAAGCAGAGACATTACTTTGCCAACAAAGGTCCATGTAGTCAAAGCTATGGTTTTTCCAGTAGTCATGTATGGATGTGAAAGTTGGACCATAAAGAAGGCTGAATGCCAAAGAATTGATGCTTCTGAACTATGGTGTTGTATAAGACTCTTCAGACTCCCTTGGACTGCAAAGAGATCAAACCAGTTAACCCTGAAGGAAATCAATCCTGAATATTCATTAGAAGGACTGATGCTGGAGCTTTGGCCACTTGATGGGAAGAGCCGACTCATTGGAAAAGACCCTGATGCTGGGAAGACTGAAGGCAGGAGGAGAAGGGGACGACAGAGGATGAGATGGTTGGATGGCATCGCCGACTCAATGGACATGAGTTTGAGTAAGCTCTGAGAGATGGTGAAGGACAGGGAAGTCTGGTGTGCTGCAGGCCATGGGGCTGCAGAGTCAGACACGACTGGGTGACTGAACAACCACCACTTCACGCCCGTCAGAATGGCCATCACTAAAAAATCTACAAATAACAAATGCTGTGGAGGCAGACTGTGGAGAAAGGCCGTGGAGAATAGGAAACCCTTCTACACTGTTAGTGGCAATATAAACTGATGCAGCTACTACGGAGAACAATGCAGAGGTTCCTCAAAAAACTACAAATCAAGTTGCCAGATGATCCAGCAATCCCATTCCTGGGCATATACTTAGACAAAACTATAAATTCAAAAGCATATGTACCCCAGTGTTCACTGTAGCACTATTGATAATAGCCAAGACATGGAAGTGACCTGAATGCCTATTGACAGATGCACAGAGAAAGACGTGGTACACATATACAGTGGAATATTAGCCATAAAAAAGAATGAAATAATGCCATTTGTAGCAACATGGATGGACTAGAGATTATCATACTAAGTGAGGTAAGTCAGAAAAAGAAAGACAAATACCATACGACATCATTTATGTGTGGGATCTAAAATTGGAGACAAATGAAGATATCTGTGAAACAGAAACAGACTCATAGGCATAGAGAATAGACTCATGATTGCCAAGGGGGAAGGCATATGAGGGAGTGGTGCACTGGGAGTTTGGGATTAACAGGTGCAAACTATTATACATAGAATGGGCAGAGAATAAGATCCTATTTTATAGCACAGGGAACTATATTCAATATCCTGTAATAAAACATAACGGAAAGGAATATGAAAAGGAATATATATATATATATATACACACACACATATACATATAATTGAATCACTTTGCTGTACAGCAGAAATTAATACAACTAACTGTATTTCAACAAAATAAAGTAAAACCTCTAAAAAGTAAAATAGTTGGCCAACATCTGTCATCATGTGTGGCTTGAAAGTTGTGGTCATTTTTGTTAATTCGTCTTAAATTTCTTTTATTGTTTTTGGTGAGTTGCATAGAAGTGGAGTAGTATAAAAAAATCCCTTGACTTTACTATCTTTAGGTGGAATTCTAATTTTATTCCTGAATGGCACTGCTGAATCTATAACTCAAGAAGGGACCGTATTTCTCAGGAGTTGTGTGGTTTAGCTAATATGTAGTGATATTGCCTTATCCTCCAGAGGGATTATAGCCTCTATAAAATAAGAAAAATACATCTCCCATGCCAGGATTTTTTGGATGATATTCTTTAAGTTCAAAATACTTTCCTGTGGTATGTAAATTGGCTACACCCTTTTAGAAAGTCAAATAAATAGCCAATGTACTTTTAAAAATCTTCAGATGCATTTTAAGGGCTTTCCCAACAATTAAATTCTGCAGGTTTTAAACATAATCCCTGTTCTTATTTTTCTCTGTCTTACAAAGAAGATAAGTATGTTCCAACATATAAAAATATTTTCCTGTTGTAGTATAATAGCTGGTTTTATGAGCTTCTGCTCAGAAAATACAATGCATAATAATGTAATGTGTTAAACTAGTTTTCATTTGTCCTCAAATTTAAAATGTTAAAATTATATTAGTTTCAGATGTACAACATAATGATTCCATATATGTATATACTGCAAGAAGACCATCGTTCAGCTAATAAATCTAGTTAGCATCTATCACTACATGTAGTGGGTGTTGAGGGATGAAGGAAGTTGGAGAAGTCTGGATAACAAAATAAAGAATGGAAAGAAAATGTTGCACAATGAGAAGACACATTGGGTTCTAGTTTAGAACCCAATGCAGGCATTTAAGTATATTTTATTAAAGTTATATTTTCTTAATGGATCAAGATTTTATTTTATAATGTCAATACTTTTCCAAGAAGTCAAACACAGAAACTCTTTTCAAAAATACTTACTGAAAAAAATAACAACAAAGACCCCCCAAAGGTTTCATAAGCAAGTGACCTAGTTTTGCTCTCAGATATGTTTTTATAGACATATATTACATATAATCTCTTGAGAAGTATGGAGTGTCCTCAAAAAACTTAAATATAGAAATGCCATATCATCCAGAAATTCCACTTCTGCATATTTATCCAGAGGAAAAAAAAACACAAACTCAAAAATATATACCCACCATGTGTGTGTATAAACACATATACACACAGTGGAATATTATTCAGTCATTAAAAAGAAGGAAATCTTGCCACTTGGGACAACATGGATGGGCCTTGAAGGCACTAGTGTTAGTTGCTCAGTTGTGTCTGACTCTTTGCAACCCCATGGACTGTGGCCCACCAGGCTCCTCTGTCCATGGGATTCTCCAGGCAAGAATACTGGAGAGGGTCGCCATTCCCTTCTCCAGGGGATCTTCCTGACCCAGGGATCAAACTCAGGTCTCCTGCATGGCAGGAAGATTCTTTACCATCTGAGCTACAGGGAAGTCCTAAAGGCATTACGTGAAGTGAAATAAATCAGAAAAAGACAAATACCCTATTATCTCACTTATATGTGGAATCTTAACAAAACAAATAATCCAACCAACTAAACTCATAGATACAGAGAACAGAGATGAGGAGTGGGGGTGGGTGTGAAATGGGTGGAGGGAATCAAAAGGCATAAACTTCCAGTTAGAAAATAAAGAAGTCATGGGATTTAATGTATAGCAAGATAGGTCAGTTGGTAAAGAACCTGTCTGCAATGCAGGAGACCCAGTTCGATTCCTGGGTTGGGAAGATCCCCTGGATAAGGGATAGGCTACCCACTCCAGTATTCTTGGGCTTCCCCGATCGCTCAGCTGGTAAAGAATCTGCCTGCAATGTGGGAGACCTGGGTTCAATCTCTGGGTTGGGAAGATCCCCTGGAGAAGGGAAAAGCTACCCACTCCAGTATCCTGGCCTGGAGAATTCCATGGGCTGTATAGTCCATGGGGCTGCAAAGAGTTGGACACGACGGAGCGACTTTCACTTCACTTCACATGGTAACTATAATCAATCAGAGTACGTTGTTGCGTAGCTGCTCCACTGTGTCTGACTCTTTTGAGACCCCAAGGACTGAAGCCCACCAGGCTCCTCCGTCCATGGGATTCTCCAGGCAAGAATACTGGAGCGGGTTGCCATTTCCTTCTCCAGGGGATCTTCCTGAGCCAGGGATTGAACCTGCGTCTCCTGCATTGGCAGGCAGATTCTTTATTGCTGAGCCACTGGGAAAACTCAATAATACTATATTGTATGTCTAAAAGTTGCTAAGAGAGCAGAAGGGCTTCCTTGGTGGCTCAGCGGTAAAGAATCCGCCTGTCAGTGCAGGAGACACGGGTTTAACCCCTGGGTTTGGAAGACCCCCTGGAGGAGGAAACGGTAACCCTCTTCAGTATTGGTTTTTTGGTTTTTTTTTTCCCTTCAGTATTCTTGACTAGGAAATCTCATGGACAGAGAAGTCTGGTGGGCTACAGTCCATGGGACCATAAAAGAATTGGACACAGCATAGCATCTACACAACAGAGTAGATCTTAAAAAGTTTTCATCACAAGAAAAAAAGAATCATAACTATGTGTGGCGATGGATGTCAACTAGACTTACTAGCTGAATGGTGATCATCTTGTAATACACACATACATGGAATCATTATGTTGTACATCTGAAACTAATATAATGTTATCTATCAATTATATCTCGATAAAGTATATAACACTTAAAAATTTAGCACAAATAAAAACTAGTTCAATATGTTGCATTTATTATGCATTCTGTTTTCTGCAGAGAAGTTCACAGAACCATACATTGTAGCTCATCTAAGAAATATTTTTATATCTTGGAACAAATTCCTCTTCTTTGCCAGTCAGAGAAAATGGAAAGAAGAGAGGACTCGCATCAGGACTGATTTTCTAAGCAGTCATAGAATTTGGCAGAAGAATGGAGTCTTGGACTTAAAACCTCAGCTGGCCTGGTGAGCAGGCCAGCCTGTGACTACTCTTCCCCTAGTCGGCTACCCTTGCGTCCTCCTTGCCCGGCACTTTCCTCCGATTTGGTCATTTCCCCTGCAGCCGGCACCGTCTGGCCTCAGCTTCGGGTCCTTCCTGCATCCTTTGCCAGCTCCGCCCTGAGTCAGTTTCCCCAGGGTAGCAAGTCCCGGGGAACCGCCCCGCCATCAGCCATTTCATCACCCCAGTTCAGGCTCCCCCAGAGCGGGCCACTTTGTCTGTGTGGGTCCTTACTGTCTTCCTTCTGGAGCCGGGAATTCCAGGGGGGCCTGGCCAGCCTCTTCTTCCCTGTCAAAGGAACAGACAGCGGTTTGACAATAATGATGCAGGACTGACATGCACGCTCCTCAAAACTGGCTTCTTGGGCTCCCGGGAGGGTGGATGGGGACTCACAGGTCAGACTTACCATCCCTGAGGGATGAGGCCTTGACCCACCGGTCACAAACCGCACCTCGCTGCCCGTGTGATGTGGCCTCATCTGCTCATCACCACCGTCTAACTTGTGTCTGGGCTGTCAGTTAAGAGTATTTCAACCGAACTGTCCCCATGTTGCCACAGAATCATCTGTGTGATGGGATGGCTATGGCTTCTATGGATTTCTCCCTTGGGACTTCCTGTTCTGTCTGGCTAGCCTGTGTAACAGCCTAATTAGCACCCTAATCTGAATAAAATCTCCCAATACACATCCTCCCAAGGTAGGAAAAGGAGGCATAGAGTCTATAACAAGACATACATTGGCCACTTAATAAAAACGGGTAGGTAACATTCTCTGGAGGTTTATGATGTGGAGGCTCTGTTACTGAATTCCCACATCCCTTTCCAAAGTAGGCTACTTGTCCAATTTTGAAGATGAGAAAACAGAGGCTTGTAGAAAGTAGCTGAGGCACAGAGTTGCTAAGGAACAGAGCCTGAAACGGAGGCCAGGCCTTTTCCCAAAGAACTTCCTCACCATGAATCCAGTCACACACATTTTCCAGACAATTGCTTTCCTAAAATTCTGAAAAACAAGCTTACATGATCAGATTTAGATGTATGCTATCCCATAAGACTAATCTCAAGAGACTTGCCTTGAGAGTGTGGCCTGTAGATATCTACCAGATCTTATTCTCTCTCTGCTTCTTCTTTTTTTTTTTTTAATCAGATACCATGTATAATTGATATCTTTTTAGGATATGTGTCCTCTGGATCCTGGGAATGCCCGCAGTTCTTTTGCTAGTGCTTTCTATCAGCTAGCCCTACATTTTAAATCAGAGGTTAGATCTTTGCATTAGATTCAGAAGAGAGAATGTGTCTTAAGTTCCAGCATAGCAAATAAGAAAGAATAAAAAAATCTTTCTGCTTCTAAAAATAGATTTTCCATATCAGGTATATTCACTCTGATTCTAAATTCTTTATACACATTTCATATTCTATCACTAAAACCCTGAGCCCACCACTGTCACGTATTTATTAAGTTACTTCCAAAACCCCACAGTTTACCTGTCTTCCAAGTTCTCCTTTCAAGCCCTTGGGTCCCTCTACGCTATTGTCAAATCCAGGAACTCCCTAAAAAATAGAAAATAATAGGCTTTGAACATTTCTCCTAAAACTATGATATGGTTGTAACATACCTGGTCACCCCCCAAAAAAGTGACAAGAGAAGGTTAACCCATTTGAAAGCAGAAGTACACTAAATTATAAGTGGTTTATAAGTGTCTTCTTTTCCTCCCAAGCTCTGCATTAGCAGGACAGCATGGAGACCTAAGGCGAGTGTGTGGGCCCAAGCGAGAGCTTGTGATGGAACACACGGGGAGGAGGCAGGGAGACATGAGTTGTGTTTAGGGAAACTCCTATCCTGGGTCTGGAGGTGTTTCCTTCTTGCTACTACCCTCTTTCTCTTAGCTTCTGACCTTCTTTCTTGGGGCCTCGGCATGTTTATATTTGAGGGTTGGTAGATTTTAACCCCCATCCCCTGCCCTTGGGGGAGGCAAAGTTTTTTTTCATTTGTTTGTTTTATTTTTATTGAAGTCCAGTTGGTTTCCAACAGTGTGATAGTTTCAGGGGTACAGCAGAGTGATTCCGTTATATATATCTATATATATACCACTTCATGGGAAATAGATGGGGAAACAGTGGAAGCAGTGTCAGACTTTATGTTTTTGGGCTCCAAAATCACTGCAGATGGTGATTGCAGTCATGAAATTAAAAGATGCTTACTCCTTGGAAGGAAGGTTATGACCAACCTAGATAGCATATTAAAAAGCAGAGACATTACTTTGTCAACAAAGGTCCGTCTAGTCAAGGCTATGGTTTTTCCAGTGGTCATGTATGGATGTGAGAGTTGGACTATAAAGAAAGCTGAGCGCCAAAAAATTGATGCTTTTGAACTGTGGTGGTGGAGAAGACTCTTGAGAGTCCCTTTGACTGCAAGGAGATCCATCCAGTCCATCCTAAAGGAGATTAGTCCTGGGTGTTCATTGGAAGGACTGACGCTGAAGCTGAAACTCCAATACTTTGGCCACCTCATGCGAAGAGTTGACTCATTGGAAAAGACCCTGATGCTGGGAGGGATTGGGGGCAGGAGGAGAAGGGGACGACAGAGGATGGGATGGCTGGATGGCATCACCGACTCGATGGACATGGGTCTGAGCAAGCCCCAGGTGTTGGTGACGGACAGGGAAGTGTGGTGGACTGCAGTCCCTGGGGCAGAGTCAGACATGACCGAGTGGCTGAACTGAACCTAACTCAACTGAGCGAGACTGAGTGAACTACTGATATTCACCACCCTGATTCATCTCACAAGAATATACTTGAGTAAAAGAAGCTGGGAATGAAGAGTGTATCTTGTGTAATTCCTCTGAAAGGCTCAATAATGGGTAAAACTAACTCATGGTCCTGAGACAGTGTGATTACCTTAGGGAGGGCTGGTAGTGACTGAAGTACACATGAGGTGGTTTGGGGGTTGTTCTACTCTTGTCTGATGTTCTGTTTCTTTACCTGAGTGGTGAGTACACAGGTTATTTATAGTGATCAAGCTGTGCATTTATAATGTCTGTACTTTTCTGAAGCATGTTACAGCTTAACAGGAAATTCAAGAGATCTAATGAATAGCATGGTGATTATAGACTGTGATATTATATTATACACTTCAAAGTTGCTAAAAGACTAGGTTTTAAATGTTTTTACCACACAAAAAACGTGATAATTATGTACGTGTTAAAGGACTTAGCTAACACTAAGGTGGTCATCCTAGGATATAAATATATCAAACTAACCTGTTGTACATCTTAAACGTATGCAGTGTTATATAGATATCACATTGTATACACAATTATATCTCAATTTCTAAAGTTTTAATGAATGTTTAAAAAAACCTACAAAATCCTAATTCATTAAGGTTTTGAAGACTGATGTGTGGGTGATCAAAGTCCCAGAGTACTGATGTCCAATGGACTTGGCATATCCCCTAGGTTGGCATGCGTCCTGTTTGTTTTGGTGTAGGTTATGCCTACTCAACTGGGTTGCATCCCCATTAAAGCAGGTATTTCTGGGTTCTACGTTTTGTCCAATGTACTTTTAGCTGACTTGGACTCAAGGAAATGAAGCTAATATTCTTAATGGAGAAAGACTCTTGGAGAAGAGAAAAAAGAGATGGCTCCATTTCTTTCTTCCTGTCCATATTTTGAGGTACCCTGAGGAAGATAATGGAATGGGGTGGAATTCCTTCAGACCTCTGAAGCACAAGGAAGTTCTGAAAATGTTTTCTCAAAAATTACATATGCAAACAGTGGCAAGACTGTTTCACTGTCCATACTTATCTTGTACATGACGAGTATCAGGCACAAGGGACTTGCTTTTAAAACTCTAAACAGACATGCCCATGACGATTTCAACTCAGAACTGCTACGGTAGTACTTTAAAGTAGTGCTCCCCCTTCCCACCAGAAGCGCTGATGTGGAAATGAGCCCTGACGTGACATTAGTTTGCAGCACCTCGGTCCAAGCACTTACTGGGTCTCCACGCAAGCCCTTTGCTCCACGGTCCCCAGAAATTCCTCTCTCTCCTGGGATTCCCTAAAGTCAACACAAAGAAGAAGGACAAGAATTTTAAGTGACATTAATAAAAACAAGGAGCTTATCTTCTCCCTGATTTGAATTATTAAATGTTTTCCTACTAAAGTTATTTTGTAGAAAAGAGGAACAACCAGTAGTTTCAGACACCATGTGAATAATTTTAAAGTGATCACAAATATTTGCCACAGTGGTGAACTCTGTGTTCCAGACAGATTCATTGTCTTGTCCATTTTTTTTTTATAACTACTGTATGCACCAGGTATTGGTTTTATCCTTCTTTTGATGAGGCAACTGAGATTCAGAGAGGTTATCCATAATTGACTCTCTACCCTCGAGTCTGGGCATGGCTTGTTCTGGTCAACAGAAAGAGTAAGATCTACTTGTAAGATCTACCAGGGTCTCCATGAGAGTTCCAAGCTTAGGCCCCAAGGGGCCTCAAGAGAACTTGTGTGTTTCTATTTGCTCCCTTGTGCTTCAGCCACGGCCATAAAAGGTCTTGGTCAATGTGGCCCGGCAGCTCTCTGCTCTCAGAAGGAGAATAAGAGACAAGTGAAACAAAGCCCCCAGCCAACCTACAGACACGTGAACCAAGGTCAGCCACGCACTGCCTAGATCAGCTGAACTTCCCAGACACATCAGAAGTTAATGTTTCTTGTTGTGTGCAGTTGAGGTCTTCTGATTATCCTAAAACACTTTCATCCTAGCTGACAGATACACCTGGTGTAGCTGTCTTACTGTTAGTCACACCTTGAATTCCCAGTGCAGTTTCTACGTTGTCCCTTTATTGAATGCATACCTGGGCTCCTTCATTGCCTTTCTCTCCTTTTGTTCCAGGAAGACCCTTTTCACCCTAAAACACAGAGAACGATAAACTCAAATTCTCATTTCCTTAATGAGAACTAGCTCAGAGGGTTTTCATGATACAAAGAGAAGGTTCTACCTGTTCTCCATTTAACCCATCAATTCCACTTTCCCCAACTTCTCCCTGAAAAGACAGACGTGGTCAGAATACAGTGCATTGCATTTACGTGGAAAGAAGTCAGACACCAAATAAAAAGTCTCATTTTGTGTTCTATATACATGCTCTTTGCTGGGCTGGCCCTGGGTCATATTAAAGATTACTGAGTCATAGAAATTGTCAACCAAAAATAAACATTGCCTGCAATAAAAGGCATTAGTAAACAAAATGAAATGATCAGCAATAAAAAGGAAGGTCAACAAAGCTTCATTTGTAATCTACTGGTCAATCACCTCAAAAAGAAAAGTATTTCTAGGTAACAACAGATGGGCAGATAAATGATGTTTGGGTTCATACCTCCTGTCCATTTAGTCCCCTGCTTCCCTGAAAATAGAAAGGACAGTGGGGGTTAGTGTAGGGAAAGGAATTAACATGGGGAAGACTTCACAGTGTTTATGCAGTCCTTACCTTAGGGCCTTTGGCACCGAAGCATCCTTTAGTACCTTGTTCCCCCACAGGTCCACTGGCTCCTCTTTCTCCCTAAGGAAGAGCACATACTCAGATGAGCTTTCCCCATTGTCATCTGGAATCTGTCTTGGAAATCTGACAACCTTTGTGTTGGATAAAAAAAAAAGTGCAACTGCTCATGGGTTTATAACCCAGAATTCATGCTTATAAAAACTGAGAGTGGAAGTAAATCAGAGGTACTCTGATGACAACCCTCTGTGTGGGATCCCACCTGGATACTCTCCAGGGTGGGGTAGGATATAAATAAAACAGACAGACAATGGCTGGCAGCTAAAATGCATTCTCAAGATTTCAGAAGACATTCCGGGAACAGACAGTGAAGAATTGATGAGACATCGGAGCAGGATGCTCTAGGTATGATCTAAGCAAGGGGCAGATTTCCTAACCAAATTCCTTCCCTTTCTCTCTTTCTATCTTTAACCCAAATCCAGTCCTGCGGTCCTTGTCTTGGTCATCCCACCAGCCAGCGCAGTCTTGTGAGCTGAAACAAAGATGTCATCCTCAGCCATTCTCCCCGCAAGTGATCTCCAAGGCACATCCATTCAACCTCCCTAACTGATCTTTTCACACTGCCCTAAACTTTGTCCTGCATCTGTTGCTTGACATCTGCTCCCTACCTTGTCATCCTCCATGAAGTTGCCTGAGCATACTTTCTAAACCCATGCCCTGGCCGTTTTTAATCCTGTGCTTGAACATCATAGAAACAGTGGAAACAGTGACAGACTTTATTTTCGGGGGCTCCAGAATCACTGCAGATGGTGACTGCAGCCATGAAATTAAAAGACACTTGCTCCTTGGAAGAAAAGTTATGACCAACCTAGACAGCATATTAAAAAGCAGAGATGCTACTTTGCCAACAAAGGTCCATCTAGTCAAGGCTATGGTTTTTCTAGTAGCTGTGTATGGATGTGAGAGTTGGATTATAAAGAAAGCTGAATGCCAAAGAATTGATGCCTTTGAACTGTGGTGTTGGAGAAGACTCTCAAGAAGACTCCCTTGGTCTGCAAGGAGATCCAACCAGTTCATCCTAAAGGAAATCAGTCCTGAATATTCACTGGAAGGACTGATGTGATACTTTCACCACCTGATGCAAAGAACCGACTCATTTGAAAAGACCCGGATGTTGGGAAAGACTGAGGGCGGGAGGAGAAGGGGACGACAGAGGATGAGATGGTTGGATGGCATCACCGACTCAATGGCCTTGAGTTTAAGTAAACTCTGGGAATTGGTGAGGGACAGGGAGGCCTGGCGTGCTGCAGTCGATGGGGTCACAAAGAGTCAGACACGACTGAGCGACTGAACTAACTAAACATCATTAAGTGATGCCCATCAACTGGAAGACTCCTTCAAGTCTTTCTCAGAGTATTCAAGACTCCCAGAACTCTGGGTCTTGAAACGTAATCTCCTCTCACCATATCCTGGATACTGGCCATGTTGGCCATATGTCATTCTGCAAACACACAATTCTCTGACTCAGTTACACACCCTTGACCACACTGTTCTCCCTGTAGTAGAATGTTCTCCCCGGGGCTGTTAGCCTGGAGAAAGTTCTATCTCTCCTCAGATGCCAGCCAAGCATTACCCCCCCGTCTGCAGCCTTCCTCTCAGGCCGTCACCTGAGGCTGTTCGGCATTTGCACTTCCGCACCCTATCGCTGCACCTCATATACCTCTACAGAGTCCTCGTGTATAACAACTAGACCTCATGCTTCTCATTTGCCTTTCCACTAGTCTGGAATTTACCTGAGATAGGAGCAAACTTTTTTTTTTTCTTTTTTATTTCTGCGGTCTAAAGCACTGTGCCTGGCACATGGAGAGATGCCTTAAGATGCATTTGTTAAATGAATGCTGAGTGTATTTATGATGAGGTCTTTGATAAATAATGTGATAAACCGTAAGATGCTTAATATACACTTAATTAATGGATGGAAGGAAGGAGAGAAAGAAGGAAGGAAAGACAAATGGATGAATAGATGCAAGAAAGGGCAAGGCCCTAGATTAACAGTGTGGTGAGTGGGTTTACTCATGCAGAATGGAAGGGGGAAAGGGCAGTGATTTGACTCTCCGAGTGAAAAAGAGAAGTTTTTCATTGAGTTGATTATACAGTGTTGGTGGATAGTCCAAGAGGGGACAGTAGGTTAATAAAACACTGGTGACCTGGAAAAACCTCAGACTTTTCGAGTGAATCCTTAGAATTTGACTTTTCTCGCTTCCTTCTGAATTGACACAAATGATCTCATAGCGTAGATATGTTCTTAGGAATAGATGGAGCTGGAAAAAACCTTGACTTACAGCAGTGCCCTCCTCTCCCAAGTAGCCTTCACTGCCTTTAAAACCTGGAAGTCCCTGGGAATAAGTAAAGGAAGGATACATTAGCACTCCATAGACCAAAACTCAGAGGTAATCAAGCAAGAATTCCTCAACTTCACAGTTTTACTTTATGTAGAGTAGTATAAGTTTGCAAAATACAGTCCTCCCCCTCCACAAACTAAGCTGCATTTACACACATAAAAACAAACGGAATTTTGAGACAAGTATCCAGATAACTCAAGGGTGGTGTGTGAGAAACATATTTTCCATAGCTCTCTCTGGGGTTTAGAGCTGGGGTTTATAGAGCTGGAGTTTTTTTCCTAAACATTCAATGAACACAGCTATATTTGCCCCCGACAGGCTAGAATTATCCTCTTTTCATTAAAAATTCTTTTTGAGGATTTATGCTACATGTAAAATACACCACACATATTTCTTTCCATTTTTCCTGATACCTGTTTAAAAAAATTCTACCATTCTCTGTACATGAAGTCAAAGGATTCAGAAAATAATTAGTCCAAAAACTTTCTTTAGAGAGACAGCCATGGTGATTTGGAAGTGACAGTACTATCTATAAATTACCCCAAATCAAACACACATGTAAATAAGTAATACTGAAATTGTTAAACACACCCATAGTATGTTTATGCATATTTGAACATTCCCTCAAAGCCCAAATCATATTTTCACATAAGGGTACCTTAACTTCTTTGGGTTAGGAAATATATGAATCTGTTGTTAGTTACTGTTTTTAGACTTGGTCTGTTTTTACTTACATATTTCTGGCAGTATTTTGGTCTGGGTAGAGCTGAATGAAACATCTTAGCATCTCTTGCTGTGACAGGGTGATCTGATCTAGCTTTTCAGCAGACTACACAACTTATTCCCCATGTGATTTAAATGACTGCAGCCATTAAAAATGGAAATGAAAATGAGTCCTTAGTATTTAGGAGGCTTTCATTATTCAACACAAGAGATCCCAGTTGGTTTTTCTGCATCTTGTCATCACTGCCAGGACACTGGAAAATCAACAAACTAGGCAGTTTCTCTCTCTTTCTCTCTTTTTTCTTTTTGGCTGTTCTGCCTGGCATGTAGGTCGAAACTATGCTCCCTCAGTGGAAGCATGGACTCATAACCACTGGACTGCCAGGGAGGTCCCATCACCAGTTTTTCTCTTGATGCTTGTATAAAAAGGTTTTTTAAAAGACTCCAATTTAGAAAACCAAGAAGAAGCCTATCTAATTGGACATATAAGCAGCGTGATAAATGGTTACCTCAAAGGCTCTACCTAGGAGCCCTTATTTCTACCTAAACCTGTTTCTGAAGAACATACTACATTCAAGTAAAGTGAGCCCATGTTGCAACTAAAATCACCGTTTTCCCTGCTGGTCCAGGGTCTCCCCTTGCGCCATCTCCTCCAATGCACTTGCAGAATAAACAGCAGCACGTCCTTTCCGCAACATTGACCTTGAGGGGGGTAGGAATACATTACACTTGATGGTTTCACTGCCCAAATCACACTCACACACAAGCTCAAGGTGCTCTAGAGAGGATGAGGGAGACAGCCTTTACCTTTCATCTTTTCCTTCTGTGATCTGCACTCTCTACCAAATGAGGGATTCAGAATCAACTCAAAGATGTTTTTGTGTTCTCAAAAAGGCATCAGTTTAGCCACAGGCGATTCACTGCATGCCAGTTTATTAATGGGATCTCCTGTGCCCACACCATCCCAACATTGACCATGGTATTTTTAATTATCCTGTATAATGCTGCCCCTAATAGTTTGTTCAATAAAAAGAATACATGCTGTTTGTTTTTTCTTTTCTTGTTTTGTGAAATATTTGTATGCTGGAGAATTTAGACAACTGTCCACTGTCACATTGTTTCGCATGGAGTTCAATGGTCAACACTTCTAGAACAGTTTGTGTGGGACAGGATTTCAAAGACAACAATTACGTGTTCAATATTCAGAAGCACTTACTGTATAGGGTGGGCACATGAAGAGATTTTATACTCTTCTTACATTTTATACTCTGACCAAAAAACGTATTATATATTTTTAAAATTTGAGTGAATTTCATCCTGGGCCTAGTTAGTAGTTAGTCATCCTCTGAAAAGTTGACATAGTCCATCACATTTGGGGGGCTTCTCTGGTGACTAAGTCAATAAAGAATCTGGTGACCCTGGTTCGTTTCCTGGGTCGGGAAGATCACCTGGAGAAGGTAACGACAACCCACTCCAGTGTTCTTGCCTGGAGAACAATTAACCCATAAGATTTATTTTAAGGAAACTTCTGTCTGCAACAAATACTGTGCTTTGCCTCAGTGGGGTAGAATCAATTTCTGTGTTGAGAAGTTTCCCATCAAAATTCTAGTGTGATGAAAAATGAAAATATTTTGTTATAACCATTTCACAATTTCTCCTCTAAATTGTTTCTTATTATATACTGTTTCTTTTCTGCTATTAGAAAATCCTCTGTTTTTTCCCCCGTACACCTCAGAAAACCCAATAAAACTTGAAATGTGTGAAACCAAACAACAACAACAACAAAATGGATTCTGTGATTTTGTATTAGATGATATCAATTTTCTTTGGATCACTAACATCCTACAGCTTATTTTACTATTAACATTAAAATGGGCTATTTCTAAAATTAAGCATTTCTTATACAGTATTGCATTTATGTGATATCTAAAAGCTGATAACCTTGTTTGAAGAATAACTTCCTCCCTCTATGAATTACCAATTTTACATTACATATTTCAGAGACAGAAAAAAATTTTGTAAAATAGATACCATTTTCCCATGTAGAAAGGAATTATAGCTAAACTTCCACGTTAAGTTACAACAAAACTTCTATATTCTCTAAGCAATTATTTGTACATAATTACTACACTGAACACACTGTTCAAATATCTATATGCAAGATCTATTGTCAGAAGGTAGCAGGAGAATGGATAAAGAAGTTGTGGTACTTATATACAATGGAATATTACTCAGTCATAAAAAGGAATGCATTTGAGTCAGTTCTAGTGAGGTGGATAAACCTAGAGCCTATTATACAGAGTGAAGTAAGTCAGAAAGAGGACAACTAATATCATTTATTAACACATATATGGAGAGTATAGAAAGATGATACTGATGAACCTATTTGCAGAGCTGCGATAGAGACACAGACATACTGAACAGATTTATGGACATGGGCAGAAGGCAAGAAAGGAGACAGTGGGATGTATGGAGAAAGTTAACATGGAAATATGGTGGGATGTATGGAGAAAGTTAACATGAAAACATATGCATTATCATTATGTAAGCTAGACAGCCAATGGGAATTTGCTCTATGACTCAGGGAACTCAATTCAGGGTTCTGTAACAACCTAGAAGGGTGGGGAGGGAGGTTTAAGAGGGAGAGGACATAGGTATGTATACCCATAGCTGATTTATTTTGATATTTGGCAGAAACCAACACAGGAGTGTAAAGCAATTATCCTTCAATTAAAAATAAATAGAGCTTCCCTGGTGGTTCAGACGGCAAAGAATCTGCCTGCAATGTGGGAGACCTGGGTTTGATCCCTGGGTTGGGAAGATCCCCTGGAGAAGGAAATGGCAACATACTCCAGAATTCTTGCCTGGAGAATCCCATAGACAGAGGAACCTGGCAGGCTACACACAGTCCATGGGGTCTCAATAGTCGGACACAACTTAGCCACTACCACCACCAAAAATAAATAAATTTAATTATAAAAAAGAAAGTAGCAGGGGCTAGCACCTTATTGGGAAGTGTCTTGATATGCTAATTACAGATTTTATAAATTATAAGCAAATTGCAAATTTTCACTCATTAAAGGTGAAAGCAGTCATAGATAACTTGAAAACCTTCACCAAGCTAGTTTGAATTCTTGTATGTTTCAGGATTGTGATGCATCTTATCTAGGGGTTAGGTTCTAAAAATAGACCATAAGGCAAAAATTTCCATCAGTCAAGACAACTTTTAAACATCTTTTTGTCATAAAGTACGACATGGCAGGTCCATCATCATGTCACTAGTTTTTCTTCCAAGATTGGGACTGATGTTCTTTTTTCAATTGAACTCTGTGGAATCAGCTCTATTCACAGGCCATTTGCAGAAAAAACACATATCTTAAGCAGCAGAATCATATTCAGTGTGGTGAATTTTGGCATTTAGTATCTGCAAGGAATGCGAAAACTGGCTGACTAGGGGATCAGCCAAGTCACTCTTACAGCTTAGACACCCTTTGGTAGTATATTTATTGACTGTAATTTGGGCAGGATTATAGGTGCTATTTAGTTTCTTCTTCCTTCTGTTTTTTCTCTTGACCAAGCATATAAATTAAACATGTTTTCAGACATAGAGAACAAACTTATGGTTACCAAAGAGGAAAATTGTGGGGGAGGGATAATAAGGAGTTTGGAATTAATATACACACTACTATATATAAAATAGATAACCAACAAGGACCTACTATATAGCACAGGGAACTATACTCAATACTTTGTAATAACCTATAAGGGAAAAGAATCTGAAAAAGAATATGTATATATATGTATAGGTATATATAGATATATCCATATATATGGATATATAACGGACCTAGAGATTATTGTACTAAGGGAAGTCAGACAGAGAAAGACAAATGCCATATGATATGACTTACATGTATAACTGAATTACTTTGCTGTAACCTGAAATTAATACAATGCTGTAAATAAACTATATTTTGATAAATAAATAGAGAACAATAACAAAAAGAAACATGCTTTGACACTGCTCTATGATATGACGTTTCTTTCAAAACACCCCCTCATTTTGGCTTTTCACAAAATCAGAAAAGTCTGGTTCTACTCCCAAATGAACAAAATTCGTTCATATTCATAAGCCTAAATATGAACCCTATATACAAAACAAATAGAAAATTTAAACTCGTGAGCCTGAATAACTCACCAGGTGCTTTGACAATTGGCTCCCAAGATCCCTCATCCCAAGAGTGAGCTGTGTCTTGTACTCAAATCCTTTCCCAAATTCAATGTACAGAAGATCAGCCAGGTCGCTGGAACTGGTGGGTCCATCCAGAGCAACAGTGATGAGGGCGTTCAGGCCTAGCCAACACAGTCAACAATTCTTCAGTTAAGGAGGGTATGGCTACTTTAACCTCTTTGCCTATGTATGAAAGTTGCTATTCCAGGAAGCCAGTCGCAAGAGGAACACTCATTTTACAGTTCATTCTCCCCCACCACACATTGTGAAACTGACAAGTGACAAGATCATCACCGGGGAACAAAATAATTTCCATTTTTCAAAACTAATTAGGTTGGAGAATAATTTATATAATATATTATAACAGATCCTTGAGGTCTCTGATGACTTAAAGTAAAATAGTGAGTTTAAAAGACTCCGCAGAGAAAAGGGAAGCCTCCTACACTGGTGGTGCAGCCACTACAGAAACCATTACAGAGGTTCTTCCAAAACTATAAACAGAGCTATCACACGATCCAGCAATCCCACTCCTGGGCATATATCCAGACAAAATTATCACTTGAAAAGATGCATGTACCCTGATGTTCACGGCAGCACTATGTACCACAGCTAAGACATGGATGCAAACTATTCATCAAGAGATGAATGGATAAAGAAGGTGTGCTACATATAGTATGTATATTACTCAGTCATAAAAAAAGAATGAAATAATGCCATTTGCAGCTACATGAATGGACCTGGAGATTATTGTACTAAGTGAAGTCAGACAGAGAAAGACAAATGCCATATGATATCACTTATATGTGGAATCTAAAATACGATACAAATGAACTTATTTACAAAACAGAAACAGATTCTATGCTTGAGTCTTCACAAACATAAAAAACCAATTTATGGTTATCAAAGGGGAGAGGAGGCGGGGAGGGATAAATAATGACTTTGGGATTAGCAGACAAAAACTACTATACATAAAATAGACAACAAAGTCCTACTATATAGCACAAGGAACTGTATCCAGTACTCTGTAACAGACCATAACAGGAAAGAATTTGAAAAGGATTGCATCTCTATATATCTGAATCACTTTGCACTATGCCACAAACCAACACATTGTAAATCAACTATATTTAATAACAGTAATAAGGAGTCCACAGAGCATACTGAAGCACAGAGGAATCCATATGTCAAGAACGTAAGTATTCTAAATTTTTGCCACTTGAAAGGGAGGCCCTTGGAGCAGCAATGGTGCCTTCATCTGGAAGCTTATCAGAAATGCAGAATTTCAGGCCCCATCCAGACCCGCAGAATCAGAATCTATATTTTAATAAAATCTCCAGGTGATTCACATGCACATTAAAGCTTGAGAAGCGTAAGTCTAAATCACAATCCGGCTGGAATTACACGTACAAGAGACAGTTAAAGGTCTCTTGTAAGGCAATTTGGAGCAAATGTCATAAAACCAACCAGAGCTGTGACTCATAGACTCTGGAAGTTTATAGATCAACACATTTCAAAGAAAACTTTTAGAGACTAAGAAAGGGTTGACTTATTTTATAAAGTAAGGACATTAAATGGTGATAGTAATAAGCCAGGCAATCATTAGGGTGGAGGTAACCATGTAACAGCTGTGCCCTCATTTATTGATAATTACTATGTGCCTAGACGTTGGCTAAGTGCTTTACATGCATTATCTTATTTTTAAGATATAAATACAACATTATAGGTAAGTATGATTACAGCTCTATTTTACAGATGAGCAAACGTTTTCACCCAACAGCATGACTCCAAAGCTTACACTCAAAGGGCATTTTAATAACAAAAATGTACTAAGGACATAATAATAAAGGCCAGTCCTAAAGTTGGATAAATTTAGTTTTATGAAAACATAACTATTTGGCATACCTTTTCTCACTTTATTAGGGATAGGTGAAGAATTCTTTGGATGGAACTTAAAAACCAATGGATCAGAATAAAGAATATTCAAGGAATTGGCAGAGTCAAAGAGTGCTTTCTTATATAAGTTTCTATATGACTTTGAGAGGAAAAGGAGAATGAAGAAAATGCAGTTTCAGAGATACAGTGGGGAGGTTCAAGTTCTACAAGCGGCAAACAATGTGGTTGCTGACGCGAACTAAAGGAAGAAATACCAAAGAATAGGGTGACTAACCTGTCCTAGTTTGCCGGAACTTTCCTGGTTTTAGTGCTAACAGTCTCTGGTTTGTCTCAATCAAACAAAGACAGGTCACTTCCAAGAATGAGAATGATGGGGAGAAGCGGTCTCAGGGCTGGGAGAGGCCATGAAGAGTGCCAAGTTCATCAACTGGTGTCTAATGATCAAAAGGAGGCATGCCAGGGGGTCTATCTAGAAGGGGAAAAGATCTCACATCTGATATTTCTTCTAAGTCCCAAGAAAGGTAGAAGTTTAAGAGTTATGAGAACCATGGGGTTGTTGATTTGCAGGAAGTATGCATATAACTATAATTTGTAATTCAGGTTTCCCTGGTGGCTCAGGCGGTAAAGCATATACCTGCAATGTGGGAGACCCGGGCTTGATCCCTGGGTCGGGAAGATCCCCTGGAGAAAGAAATGGCTACCCACTCCAGTATTCTTGCCAGGAAAATTCCATGGACAGAGGAGCCTGGTAGGTTACAGTCCATGGGGTCGCAAGAGTTAGACACGACTGAGCGACTTCATTTTCTTTTACTTTCACTTTTCTCAGGACAGAGGACTCCAATCCTGATCTTTTCGGACTCATCTGGTTCATATGATCTTAAACAGCAGGTGTTTTCGCTTCTTCTCTGGTGGTTCAGACGGTAAAGTGTCTGCCTACAATGCGAGAGACCTGGGTTCAAGTCCTGGGTTGGAAGATCTCCTGGAGAAGGAAATGGTAACCCACTCCAGTATTCTTGCCTGGAAAATCCCATGGATGGAGGAGCCTGGTCGGGGTCACAAAGAGTTGGACATGACTGAGCAACTTCACTTTTTTCAATTCTTAAAAAAATGAATTAAGATAAAGAAGCTTTCAAAAACTGGGAGAATAAAGAATCACTGAGTAGATTCTAGAGTACTGGATTTTTTACAGTGAAAAAAACTGATTCAAACTCCGATCTACAGTACAGTTCAGTTCAGTTCAGGCTCTCAGTCATGTCCGACTCTACATGGATTAGTTATAAAGTGACATCTATCCTGAGCATCCTTTCCTCCTGGTCTTCTCTTGTTCCATGGTGATGGCTCAGTTTACACGTACAGAGTCTGGGGCCTCAAGTTAGAGAGGCTCTCCTGGGTTAACAGATGAAGGGCCCAGCATCAACTGAAATCATCTACATTAAATATGGGAGGTCACAGCCAGAGGTGCTCTTTGTTTCAACCGAGAGACATTCAACACCTTTCAAAGAACACTGTGGCCCACACCCTTTTATCTTTCCCACTGAAAGGCTGTAGCTACTGTGAGTCCTCCAACCTTTACCTCTTTTTCAAAGTTGTTTGGGCTATTTTGGGTCCTTTGCATTTCCACATACATTTTGAACCCTTTTTTTTTTTGTACATTAACAAATATCCTGCTTTGATTTTGATTGTGACTTAATTGAATCTATAGATCTGTTTGGAGAGAATTGACATTTAACCATATTCAGTCTTTTTTATCGTTGTTTTAGTAATTTTCAGCAAACAGACAACTATGTTTTGTTAAATATATACTTTGGCATTCCCTGTCCTGTGTACATTGCAAATGGTTTTTTAAATTTTTTTTTTTCAGTTTTTCACTATCAGCGTTTGAAAATAGAATTGATTTTGAATACTGAAAAAAGATGCTAAATTTCTGGGGATGTTAAAAACCTAGCTTCTGAAGTCAAAACTCATCCACCAGTTTTCCTCATGAATTGGAAGAAAGAAGATGGGTCTTAGAAATCTGGGTGTTCCAAGAGAAACTTTCTGGAGAAAACTCTGATCTTGTCTGCAAAGGTACATCGTCCCCCCCAAAAGAAAAGGTGAAATTGAAAAAGCCTTTCCTATTCACCTGAGGGTCCTGTTCTCAGTCTTCATTAATATTTCCTCTTCAGATCAAGAGTAAAGGCCAAGACAATAGAATAAAGAGAAGCAGCTTTAGTAAATCCAATAAAAATAAAACCCTTACCCTTCAGCTGTGAATTCAGTGAATTTTACAATCTGTTTAAAATGGAGAAATGAGAACCAGTGAAAAGACAAAATCTAGTGTGGCTCAGTGGTAAAGAGTCTGCCTGCAATGCAGGAGACATGAGAGACGCAGGTTCGATCCCCAAGTTGGGAAGATCCCCTAGAGAAGGGAATGGCAACCCACTCCAGTATTCTTGCCTGGAGAATCCCATGGACAGAGGAGCCTGGCGGGCTACAGTCCATGGGGTCACAAAGTCAGACACGACTGGGTGATTAACACTTTCATTTTCAATCCACCTCTAACAGTTAACCAGAGAGACAGGCCAGATGCCCTAGAAGCAGAGTCTGAGATAACCAGTTAGATGCCCATGATTTATTGGGGAAGAACTCTCTAAAGAAAGGAACAGAGGTAAGCAGGGTCAGGCTGGGGAAGGAGCTGAGCAAGACAGTGTTTCAGCAAAAGTCTAGCTTCAGCCTGATCCCGTGGGGAACTCTGGAGCCTGAGTCACACCACACAATTGGCATCCAAGTCTCTGCACTCCACCTGCTGCCCAAAGATGGGGACAGGGAGTAAACTGGGCAAGGCGGGTGAAGGGCAGTTCCTCAGAGAAAGGGGGAACCTGTGGGTAACATGTGAGCAGCCAACACTCATAGCAGCTGGACGATGAGGGAGCCTGTCTGTAAGGGGTCTGGGTGGGGTACCAGTAACAAAAAAAAAAATCTGTTTCTATTCTTAGTCAACCCAAAACATGTGAATGCATTTTCCTTCCACTGATCCATATTTTAGTACAAATGGCCAATAAATCAGAATGAGCATTGGTTCCTAAAGCCAAAAGCCTGGTGCCAAAGCTTTAAAAACTCATTAACACCATAGTTGGTCCATCTGTCATCTGCAAGAAGGAACTGATTATGAAGTCCCAAGACATGAGTAAACTTGTCCACCAACGCTTGCAACTCTGAAAAGTTAAAGAGTGTTAGAAGAAAATTGTCCAACTCTCCCATTCCTTAGTCAAGCAGAAACATACATGGTTCACTTCTGCTGACACTTAAGACATAGAAATATTAGATAGCATGGGGCAAGGGAGGCAGGAACATACTCCAGGAAAGCTTAGGAAGAAGAAATAAAGTAATACGAGAGAAAGGATAAGACACTATATTCAGTGCTATTTCGTATGGGGAGGAGGAAAAAAGTAGATGCCAAAATGTTGTGAGAGCTTGTTTGCCCTCCCAAGTGCATCCAGAGTGGAGAGGCTGCAAAGTCAGAGCTATTTGAGAGTCTGGAAGTGTAAGAGCGGGGACTCAGTTTTGAGATTATAAAGGTTGTCAACACTCCTTTCCCAGCACTCCCTACGCTTCATACCTTCTTTTCTAAGTTCATCAGATTTTTGTTCAAGTTTTTCAACATCATCATCCAATCCATCTGAAAATAAGAGGGCCACCTAGAAGAGTATTCAAAAAAGAAAAATGAGTAAAAAGGAAGTCGTTGCAACCAAAAACCAATAAGTAAAATAAAAACTAAGTTACCTTTCCCCGAGCTGCTGACTTATTCTGAAATGCATCCCACAGAGAACCCAAGTGGTTTGCGTTGAGAAGAGATGGTCCTTTAACTGTTATATCCTGCAAGCTGTTCAGTATGTTTTCACTGTAGATCTCAAACTTGGGGGAATATTTTCCTGCAGCATTGGTCACTTGAAAAGCCACACTAACCTGAGTCTCCGTGCCCACCTCACAGCTTACCCCATTGAGGGAGCTGATGGCACGTAAGACGTCTTGAAGATAGGTTTCCATCCAGGACTGGCCTTCGAGCAAAGTCTGCCCATTCTGCTGAGTTGAGATGTCAAATCCCACCACAACGTCCACAAAGCAATCTAGGATTCAAGGGAAAAGCATACTGCATTAGACCAGTAAAGAACTTTATCTGACTTGGATGTCATGTTTGAATCATGAGACTTGGAATTCTTGTTTCCATCCCAGTTATAAAGTCGGAAAACAAGGAAGAAGATGTGAATACTGGGAAGGCTCAGAACCACCCTTTCACAACCTGTTAAAGCGGGGGTTTTTTGTGTGTTTTTTTTGCCCCCAGCATCTATAAAATCTAGATGATTCTATAACGAAGTTCTGAAAGATTGCATTGTGTCCAGTGAAGAAGCTATGAAGAGTCACTTAAATAGCTGAAACATGTTGTGGAAATGATAATAGTCCAAAAGAGGAAATTCATTTCATGCTACCAATCAACTGAGGTCATTCAACAAATATTAAATTATAATTAAAAGGGAAAAACATTTGAAAACAGAAAGTTGTTTAGAAAAATAAATTAAAACAACAACAACAACAACTCCTAAAGGAATGATTTTGATGATTTAATCCCTGAACAGAAAACCATTGAATTTCTAGAACACGTTACTGCCTTCAAGGAAAACACTCTCTTGTGAAAAAACAAAGATGCCAAAATGTCATCACTGAGTGCTCCTAGGAACTGTCCTCTTTAAAATGGAGTATTTTAGCTTTTTGCCTAGTTACTAAAATTAAAACCTCTAGTAAATAAGTTCCCACTGTTTATTTAACTAATTCAGATTGATGAATGAGTCCATGATAATGTGGTCAAAGAAACGGAACTTGGGGAACAGTCCAGAGGTGGCAGCCATATGTCTAAACACAGTTAGAGAGAGTGGATCATGTAAGTTAAGTGGGCTCTCATGGAATGGCCTTGCAGACTCTACAGAGATGTCTGCCCTCAAATCAAGAGCCCTTCAGAGCTAACAAGAGGAGGCAGAAATGGTTTCGAAAGTGGGCGAGGAAGAAGGCGAAAAGTGGATTTCCAAAGAGAAATAATGAAGGATGGTAGTCGAATAGCAGGAGTGGGAATCAAAAGGGGGCGAGGACTGGCTGCCAAGGGTGGTAAAGACAAGTAAAGCAGTGTTCTGAGAATCTGACAACTAGCAGTGTAGAAGCCAGGAGTGGGGAGGCAGCGTTTAGTTCAGCCCTGTACAGGTCACTACTGTGTTACTACTAAACCACTTCTGCCAAATCTCTTAACCTCTCTGAGCATTAACTTTCTTGTCTATAAAAATAAGAAGATTATATATTTCAAGATAAAAGTACAAAAAGAACAGGGAAAAGAAAGGATTGGGCAAGACAGTAACGGTCTCCTGGTTCCCTTCCAAACCCCAAAGCTGATTTTAATTATCTGACTTATAAAGAAAGTCCTTAATTGGAATTAATGATGGCAGGGTTTTAGTATTAAGAAACACTGTCAAACAAATGAACTTACTTAAGAAACAAACTCACAGACATAGAGAAAAAGCTTATGATTGCCAAAGAGGGATGGGGATGGGGGAGAGACAAATTGGGTTAGTAGATATAAACTACCATATACATAAACAGAAAAGCAACAAGGTGCTATTGTGTAGCACAGGGAATTATATTCAATATTCTATCATAAACCATAATGAAGAAGAATATGAACAAGAATACATATGTGCAACTGAGTCACTTTGCTGTGCAATAGAAATTAACACAATGCTGTAAATTAACTATACTTCAATAAAATTTTTTAAAAAGAAAGAAATACGGTCAAGATAGTAGGGTATATTAATAAGATTAGAAGACAGATTCTGGAGAAAACACTTCAAGTGCAAAGTTGGGCTGTTGGTGGTTATTAGCTGGGATAAGAGAAAAATTTCTTTGGAGATTTAAAAGAAGGGGGTATCTTAGATTTAAAAAAAAAGAGAAAGAAAGATCTAGAAAATATAGTTAGGTAAGTGAAGTGAAAGGGAAAGTTGCTCAGTCGTGTCTGACTCTTTGTGACTCCAAGGACTATACAGTCCTCATTAAGACAGGAACATAAACAGATCCTTGTCAAGAAAAGTTGGAAATGACCATCAATTTTTTCTTATATTTCCCATATTCCTTGAGTCAGTTCCTGAAGGCATGTCCACTCTGTCCTTATCAGACTGGCCTTTGGTTGAATGTCCTTTTTGACTCATCTTCCATGATAATATGAAATATAAGAGGTACTTTCAATTCTTTTGCTACCTAGTCATTCTGCTTCTGCTGCTGCTAAGCCGCTTCATTCATGTCTGACTCTGTGTGATCCCATAGACAGCAGCCCACCAGGCTCCCCCATCCCTGGGATTCTCTAGGCAAGAACACTGGAGTGGATTGCCATTTCCTTCTCCAGTGCATGAAAGTGAAAAGTGAAAGTGAAGTTGCTCCAACTCTTCACGACCCCAAGGACTGTAGCCCACCAGGCTCCTCCGTCCATGGGATTTTCCAGGCAAGAGTACTGGAGTGGGGTGCCATTGCCTTCTCCGACCTAGCCATGGCTCCATGTCAAAAAAGGCAGCAAGTCCATATCCTGAAAACTGCCGGGGGGTCTTCTCTGGGTGGTTAGAACATGCAGACTCCAAGAAAAGTCAGGAGACTGGCATGGATGAAGTTAAGAAGGGTTTGGTTTAGTTGCTTAGGGGAATTTGGTGTATATTGAGGCATTAAATGGAAATATAGCTCTGAACTGCTAAATGATTAAAGTTTCTAAATCAAGGAACTCTTGGCAAACTGTCCTTTTGTGAACTGAACTACTCCATCACTCCATGCACCTGGACTTATAAAATCACTTTAAGATACCTTTGGCAATACACCATGAGAGTTACTAAGACTCACTGCATATTTACACACACTTGTCCTCACGCATTCCTCATGTGTCCCTATGACACATGGAATAAATAGAAATGCTTCTAATACTCATTTTGCAGAAGAAGATGCTGTGGCTTAAAGAGGTTTGCCCGAGGTCTCACAGTTATTATTGTGGACCTCACATGTGGGAATCAGATCCAGGCCTGTCTGGAGTTCCTACACTGTACGACTTTATTTCCACCACCTCCTGGGTGGCCAGTGATGCTAGGTCATGCAGGTTTCAAATGCTATATTACACTGCTGGAAGGGACAGCCTAGCAGTGAGTGGCTTCTTTACATAGTAGAAGCTTTTGAGATATAAACCCGTGATGTCTTAATAAGCTCCAGCAATTCATAGTTGAAGCACAAGACTTATAATGTGAACATCAGATAATCTAGACAGGAACTATATCAAGAAAACCTAGACAGCCACTATATCAAAAAATATAACAACCCACAAATGGGTTGGAATCACACAGATGTAAATTTTAAAATTTGCTTAGTTTGTTCCCTCCAGTAAAATCTGGGCCAGGCTCCCAATAGTCCTTAGAGCTCCCTTTTCCTCATTTGTAAATGGGAATGAAACTATAAACCACAGAGAGTTTGGGAGTTTAATGAGATAATGCATTTATAATATTTTAAAATGCTTGACCCTCCATAGAGGCACAAGAAACACTGATTTTTCCGTCATATCTCTGTGCAGCTAACCATCCTTTCCCATAAACTAAATCTTAAGTACAATAAGAAAAAACAGAAATAATTTAACTGCACAAATGAGAAAACTCAGAAAGGTTAGTGACCATTCCAAAGTGGTGCATGTTTTAATAAGAAGCAAAGCTGGATGTTCAGGCTTTGGTTTCTTTTGAGACACATCAAGCTACTGTCTTATTTCCCTTGATTTGGGAGTTTATTGTCCAAGAGGAGCTGGTATCATCCAGTATGTTTGCATAGGCTTTATCAGCTTTATCATTCCAGCCTCATTAGCCCTCAGACCACAGCTTGGCCACAAAGGCCTCACACATTTTCGTTTGTTACAGTAATCACTTGAAGTTTATCTTTAAAGTGTACTTTTCTTATTTATTTATACATTCATGACTTCTGTTTCGACTTTCCGCTTGGCTTTCTTTCACCCTACTGAGGACAGATTAAATGGTTCCAAGATCATTTTCAGCCTAATGTGAATAAATGGAAATGGGTATTTCATGTGAAACAGGAAATTCATGTGGAAGGTTTGGCTGAGGTCACCAGGCACATTACAAAGTATGGGAAGAAAGTGGAGTGCAATCTACATAGACAGTCCTGACCAATGGCAGCACTCCTAAACTTTGGCTTATACGCTGGGCCTTATAGAAGGTTTGTGCTTGGAGCCCAGAAGACTTACGAAGGGGACAGTTGGTGTGCTATGAGTCTCTGCCCACAAGTGCACACACACACACACACACACACACACACACACACAAAGAGAGAAGATAATGTCCTCTTTAAGTGAAGAGAGAGGCACTTTGAGAGGGAACCTGGAGATGATACAGCCAAGAAATTCTACAGAATGAGACATGATGTCATGTTGCTTTCTACAAAGGAGAGGCACCCATGCTGGAACACCAACATTGGGGGGCTGGAACTCCAGGGTTTCCTCGGGAAACTGACACATAATTGTTTCCCATGGGGTTGATACGCCTGCACATAAGAGCTGTGTTGGGCTTCTCTGGTCTCCCATCCAAGAAGGTTTCCCTGGAGGGGCAAAGAGATAGCCGCAGATAAAGCAGGAGGCATCCCTAGATGCCCGGAAGCTGAGGAAGGCATAAGGGAACAGCTGGAATTGAGAGATGCTCCCCTTCCCCAAGGGACAGATGCGCCTGACAGATGGGCAGAAGCGGAAGTCTTTGAAGCAGTCATGGGTGGGCCCAGCTTTGGACAAGGGTTGCTGAGAAAGTGCAGTTCTGAAAAGTGCCATCAAGTTAAGAACTTTCCTGATCCTCCGTGGCTCATCTCCCGTGGCCAGCCCATTCTGGAGAGGCTGGACACCACGATCAGTGAGGAGATGCAAGGCCTGCGGGGAGGGGGCAACGAGGGAGGCGCGGAATGAGCGCTAAAATGGTCATGGTGCCCGGCCTGCGGCAGGCACAGTGAACTTGACTGAGTGTGAAGTCTGAAGAGTTACACAAGGATGGACATACTCATCACCAAGAAGAGGGTCACTTACTTCTTTAAAGTGACTGGGGGCAAGGCAAGAGCTGGCCCCATGAATAAACCAAATGGGTCGATGGTAGACAAAAGTGAAGTGACTTGATGATGACATCCCAGGTGTCATGTTTATTCAAAGTAATGTTAGATATGCATGTCCTTATTTCATCTTCACAAGGATCTTTTGAACTAGATGTTTTGTGGTTAATTTTTACAGATGAGAAAATTAAACTTAGGAAAGTTAAGCCACTTGTGCAAGAAAAAGTGGCTGTTACATAGGCATTCATAGTCCATTAACCACCCATCTCCAAAGCTGCCTCTTAACAACCGTCTAGCCTTCCTATCCCTGGTGGAAATCTAGGGTTACTCTTTACCATAGGTAGCTATACAGAATCACGGCCAACCCAGCGGGGACTTTTATAAAAATAGAAAAAGTTATTTCTCCTTCCAGACCTTTCCTTCCATCTGCTGGAAAAAATGTCAAAATGTGCTAATTTTTAAGAAGATATTTACCAACTCCCTTGTTGAAGTTTCACATTAACGCTCTAAACTCTAAGATGCTCCCTCCCTACCTGTGGCAGCAGTTGGCAGCCCCACTGCCAGGAAACCCAAATCTGTCAAATAGTTTGTTTTGGGGGGACACATTCTTCAGCCTCTGAAACCAACCAGAGTGTAAACAGGCCTTGTCCTCACACCTTCAGAAGGTGAGGCATTCCCATCACAAAGAGGGCATATGCTCCCAGGAGAGGAAAACTGGTTGAGACCCTGTGTCTCAATCTACAAGGGGCAGAAAACATGTGATAACTGAAAGGTTCCATTTGAAATCAACAGGCACAAATCTGCATTCTCCCCCCAGCCCCAGAGAAGGCATAGACCCTAGGGACCTGTGGGATACTCACTGCTGTCTCCCCCGGAGGTACAGATGTTACGAACAATCCTCTTCTTGACCTTCTTCAGCTCGTCAAAGTTGTGAACTGTCAGCTTCTTCTCGGCGGTCCCGGTGATCTGAACGAGCTGCTGGTCATCCACATCCCCGACGCCCACGGAGTAAATGTCGACGCCTCTGTGTCTCAGCTCTTCGGCGGCCTGAGCCACCTCGTCTTGGGACTGGCCGTCCGTGAGGACCAGCAGCACCTGGGGGGTGCCTGCGTGGATCCGGCTGCCCATGTCCGGCCGGAAGTAGTGCCCCACCTGCCGGAGGGCGGCGCCGATGTGGGTGTATCCGAAGATCTGCTGGATGTTTTCAATCTGAAAGGAGATCTCCCTTTTGCTGAGGAACCTTCCCAGGGGGAACTCCGGCCGGTAGGTGTGGCTGAACTGGGCTGCTCCTATACGCACTCTGTTGTTACTGACATCGAAGTCTTGAATGACAGACGCCAAGAATTCCTTCATCTTCCTAAAGTCGTCTGGATGAATGCTATTCGAGCCATCCATGAGGAACACAAGATCGACTTTTTCAATTTCACAGTCTACAAAGAAGACAAGAACAAAGTCAGATTGCTATTCTTCCTCTGACTGAGCAGGGGAAGTCAAAGGAACAAGACCAGAAGCTGACTGTGGCTCAGATCATGAACTTCTTATTGCAAAATTCAGACTTAAATTGAAGAAAGTAGGGAAAACCACTAGACCGTTCAGGTATGACCTAAATCAAATCCCTTACAGTTAGATTAGATTAGATGTCATAGACAGAGTGCTTGAAGAACTATGGATGGAGTACAGGCGGCCATGGTCAAAACCATCCCCGAGAAGAAAAAATGCAAAAAGGCAAAATGGTTGTCTGAGGAAGCCTTACAAATAGCTGAGAAAAGAAGAGAAATGAAAGGCAAAGGAGAAAAGTAAAGATACACCTATCTGAATGCCGAGTTCCAACGAATAGCAAGGAGAGATAAGATAGCCTTCCTAAGTGAACAATGCAAAGACATAGAAAAAACAATAGAATGGGAAAGACTAGAGATCTCTTCAAGAAAACTAGAGATACCAAGAGAACATTTATTGCAAAGATGGGCACAATAAAGGACAGAAACTGTATGGACCTAACTGAAGCAGAAGATATTAAGAAGACATGGCAAGAAGACATGGAAGAACTATACAAAAAAGATCTTAATGAGCCAGATAACCACGATGGTGTGATCACTCACCTAGACCCAGACATCCTGGAGTGAGTGTGAAGTCAAATGGCCCTTAGGAAGCATCACTACAAACAAAGCTAGTGGAGGTGATGGAATTCCAGCTGAGTGATTTTAAATCATCAAAGATGATGCTGTGAAAGTGCTGCACTCAATATGCCAGCAAATTTGGAACTCAGCAGTGACCACAGGACTGGAAAAGGTTAGTTTTCATTCCAATCCCAAAGAAAGGCAATGCCAAAGAATGTTCAAACTACCTCACAATGCTATTCATCTCACACACCAGCAAAGTATTGCTCAAAATTCTCCAAGCCAGGCTTCAACAGTACGTGAACCAAGAACTTCCAGATGTTCAAGCTGGTTTTAGAAAAGGCAGAGGAACAAGAGATCACACTGCCAACATCCGCTGGATCATAGAAAAGCCAAGAGAGTTCCAGAAAAACATCTACTTCTGCTTCATTGACTATACCAAAGCCTTTGACTATGTAAATCACAACAAACTGTGGAAAATTCTTCAAGAGATGGGAATACCAGGCAACCTTACCTGCCTCTTGAGAAACCTGTATGCAGGTCAAGAAGCAACAGTTAGAACTGGACCTGGAACAACAGACTGGTTCCAGGTCAGGGAAGGAGTATGTCAAACTGGGAAAGGACTATTGTCACCCTGCTTATTTAACTTCTATGCAGAGAACATCCATGCGAAAATCCAGGCTGGTTGAAGCATAAGCTGGAATCAAGATTGCCAGGAGAAGTATCAATAACCTCAGATAAGCAGATAACACCACCCTCATAGCAGAAAGCCAAGAGGAACTAAACAGCCTCTTGATGAAAGTGAAAGAGGGGAGAGAAAAAGCTGGCTTAAAACTCAACATTCAAAAAACGAAGATCACGGCATCTGCTCCCATCACTTCATGGTAAATAGATGGGGAAACAATGGAAAATGTGACAGACTTTATTTTCTTGGGCTCCAAAATTACTGCTGATGGTGACTGCAGCCATTAAATTCAAAGATGCTTGTTCCTTGGAAGAAAAGTTATGACTAACCTAGACAGCATATTAAAAAGCAGAAACACTACTTTGCCGACAAAGGTCCATATAGTCAAAGCTATGGTTTTTTTCAGTGGTCATGTATGGAAGACAGAGTTGGACCATAAAGAAAGCTGAGCACTGATGCTTTTGAACTGTGGTGTTGGAGAAGACTCTTGAGAGCCCCTTGGACAGCAAAGAGATCCAACCAGTCCATCCTAAAGGAGATCAGTCCTGGGTGTTCATTGGAAGGACTGATGCTGAAGGTGAAACTCCAATACTTTGGCCACCTGATGTGAAGAACTGACTCATTTGAAAAGCCCCTGATGCTGGGAAAGATTGAAGGCAAGAGGAGAACGGGACGACAGAGGATTAGATAGCTGCATTGCAGCACCAACCTAATGGACATGAGTTTGAGTAAACTCCGGGAGTTGGTGCTGGACAGGGAAGCCTGGCGTGCTGCAGTCCATGAAGTTGCAAAGACTCAGACACGACTGAGCGGCTGAACTGAACTGATAAGGAAATGCTATTTCTGAAGGTGGTTTTTTAGCTTATGCCACCCTGTGGTCCCATTAATTGGAGAGAAAACAAAGACACACCACCATGTCATAGAATCAGCATGAGGCATGGTCCCACATCCTTTTAGGCTTCTCTTTTCTGTTTGGCTTCACACTGTTTTCTTTTCTGAGATGCCAGAGAACTGAGGGTGATGCGATAGAAAATGAGTTCTCACCTGCAATCTAGGCTAACTTCCAGAAAGCCCAGCAACAGTGGTAGCATACATAACAAGAAAAATAAATGACACATCCACCTAGGGATGCGAACAAACAGGCAGATGGTCTTCATTATTGACTTGGCCTTGCTGGCCAGTTGAGTCAATAAGCGTTTTTCTTGTTTCTGGCAAATTGAGTTTTAAGAATCAAGACTTTCAGCCTATATCTAGTCTCTTTTGTCTCTTAACCAGCCTGCTTTCTGGTGCATACAGGCAAAAACGTCCCCTTGAGAGAAATGATTTTGAACAATGCACTATGGTTTAAAGATGTTGCCCTTGTCTTATCACAGCAAATTAAAAAAAAAAGAATGTGAAAGGCCATTGCCAGTGAATGAGTTATGCTTGGCCCATGCTCATGTGTGTTCTTCAGCCTTCTGGAAAGCATTAAAATTTCCTTGAACTCCCCATAGAGCTCGTCACTGACCTAACTTTATTAACTCTCATTTTAGCCTCGGAAAAGTTGAAAGATATCTGAGATTTCTGTAGCTGCGATAAGCAAGGTAGAGATAAAATGTTGGGTGGATAGATCCTCCAGGAACTGGTTAGTTCATTAAATTCCTTTGTTTCAGATTCACATAAAGGAAATGAACTTTCTTTGTGCCCAAGGGAGAATAGTCAGTATACAAATTCAGTTTCAACTTCTACAGTGGACTTGAAAAGGTCAGACTGAATTTTAGACATTGGCCAATTGAAGGTAAGAGACTCATCCCAGATTTTGTTGAGATCCAGATGGATTTTGTTAGTTTTGTGAACGAAAAAGATAGTAGCTGTAGTCTCAAGAGGCACAGCATATGAAAAACAGGAAAGTTAAATAATTTTTAAAAGGAACTGCACCAAGATATTGAAACCCTAGATTAATATTAACTCTCCTAACAAAAATACTTGGTATTTTTAGTAAAACACATCCTAATAAAAATACTAAGGAGTTTTAAAAGACCATAATCTCCCTTTGATATGAAATTATAAATTGGCCGCTGAACAAATGAATGAATGAATACATACATACTTGGATGTGGTAATGCAATTTTGAGCTGCCAGAACAAAAACAGCATCTAGGGCAGAAGAAGTCCTGTATGCTCTCTGCTCTGGAAACATCTGAGGCTAAAATTGGGTGTTTAGCACTTGGGCTCCACGTTTCAAATGAGCTTGTGCCGTAACAGAAACATGTGAAGGCACTGGGAACTTCTGGACTGGAGGGGATAGGACTTCAACCAGTAGTCCTGAGCAAGAGAGGGACTTGATTTCTTGTGTAAAGAACAGAAAGAAGAACTTTCTGTGGGTGCAAGTGGCATGCAAAAACCCATCTGGGCTCCAATAAATACAGCCTGTTCAAAAAATGGTGAATTTTGTTGGTTATTCATTTTAAATATAGCAGGACCTATTGTGTAGCACATGAAACTCTGCTCAACGTTATGTGCCAGCTTGAATGGGAGGAGAGTTTGTGAGAGAATGAATACATGTGTGTGTATGACTGAGTCCCTTCACCATTCACCTGAAACTACCACCACATCGTTCATCGGCTAAACCCCAATACAAAATGTTTTTGGTGTTAATAAAAATTAAAAAGTAATAAATTAAAAAAAGGGAGTACAGCCCCTCTTCATCAAAAGAAAAAAAAATGGTGAATTTTCCATCACTGGAAGAATTTAGGCAGAGGCAAGTAGGAATGCTGTACAAGGCTGAAGATTTCACAAGGTGGGAACTCCTACAGAATCCTCAGTGCCCCATTTGGTTTCCTGCTTATTTGGACCTCTTCTGATAATCAAGGAAACTCAGTGGATGAATCTTACCTACTTTTGAAGAGTTACATACGCTGGCAGACACATCTGAAAATATCCCCTTCAGACCGCCAAAAGTTTCCACGAAGAAGTACTTGTCACTCGATCCTGCCATGGCCAGCAGCTCCACGGGGTTGGCGCCGGCGATGCCCACGGCCAGGACAAGGATGCCCTTGTCCCGCAAGGCCTTGGCTGTAGCATTGAGCTTATCGGCATCGTGGGATTCCCCATCGGTGATCACGATGAGGACCTGGGGGACCCCTTTGTGCAGACGGCTGCCCCGGGCTTCGGTGAACATGTGGTCTGAGAAGCCCAGGGCCTCAGCGGTATAAGTGTTGCCCCCCATGGGCTGATCATTCTGGATCACCGAGATCACCTCCCATTTGGTGTCAAGGCTATCCAGATAAAACAGCACCTCCGGGTCATCCGCGTACTTCAGAGCCCCAAACCGGACATGATTCTTGCCCACATCAGCTTTTTTCACCAAGTCGATCATAAAGTCCTTCATGATGTTGTATTCATCATGGTCAATGCTGCCAGAGCTGTCAATTACAAACACCACGTCTAAAACTTCAATGCGCTTGCATTCTGAAAGCGGAAGGAAAAGGAAAACTGATGAGATTACCTTTGCACGTCATGGAGGACTCACATCACCCACCCTGCCCACCCCACATTTTAAATGCCAGGGTCTCCCCTCCATAGGATCAAGCTGTACATCTGAATGTCCATTCTCTGCATAACAGACACAACACACATGCTCAGTTGTGTGTCTTTTAGACTTGATTTTAGCCAAAAGGCCGAGAAGCGATTTGCATGTCTTTTAGGACAAGGCAGATGTGACATGAAGCCTCTTACAGTGGGTGGGAAGGGGGCGGAGTGACAGTCACAGGACATCAGAGATAAACATGACAAATATTTTTGGACCAAAAAAACTCAATTCACAATTCTGAGGAAATTTCCCTGTATAAGTGGCACCTTCAACATGTGCTTTCATTTATACAAATTTGTCTTTTTTCTTTTTAAGCCACAGTGATCATGAGGTTTTATTCTTAAGATAAACCTTGGGGAAATGACCAGATGAAAATAAATTTGGCAACACTATAATTTCTTCATAGCTAACTTTTCAAGGTTACGTTTTCTCCTTTTATTGACTTTCTTAAAACATAATCTGTATTCATGTTTGGGCTTTGTTGTAGAAATTATCCCATTTCACACTTGGCCCAAGCAAGTGATCCCAGCATGACCTCTCATTCACTTTGTAAATGTGGGGTCAATGCAATGGAAAAGGAAAGTAATCCATGTGTGTATCACATTCTGTTCTCAAGGTGCAGCGTTCCAAACTCCAATTCATTCATTCTAGAGAAGTGGAACTGTAGGATGGTGAATGATTTAGTCCTTACGTAGCACCATCTGTCTACAGGCCTTAAGAAGGTATGTTTCAACAATTAACTCATCCATTCTGGAGAAATGAAATTGTGAAAAGTTTTCCCTAGCCCTTCCTCAAGGCTCATCACATTCCCTTCTTTGGAAGCCACTTCCTTACAACAATGGTAGGGCTGTTGCAAACCCTAAAGCCAACACACTTACCCACATAACTAGAGGCCACATGTACAGAGCCATGACCATGTCACCCAGAAAATCTGGTTCCACACAAATAGAAACGATGTCCCTTGGGCCTTCAGCTGCCCAGGGCAGCCTGCTTGGATTACCCGGGAGGCTGGAGGGGGGACTGCTCAATTAAAGCACCCTTCAAAGAAGTCATATTTGTTCTGGTTGGAGTTACCAGGATGCACAATCCAGGCCTACGCCTCTAACCACAACGTATAGATCGCAGTCACCAATACTTCTAGTGCGGCTTGGCCAGAACTGTTATTTGAACAACAAGATGATGTCCCTTTTTTCCTTCAAAATTCTGTTAAGATTAATCTCCTTTGTAGAAGTTTTTCAGAATGCCTGTGTTGTCAAGCCCCACGGGCCCCTTATTTCTGCTGAACCTTTATTAATTTCATTCTGCAGTACCCTGAGAACACAATGATGACTACCCATTTATTTCCTTTGAAGCATCCATTGCTCAAGTTCCTATATCATATTCCTCCCTTATAAGATTTAATAAATATCAATATGTTTTAACAAAGATTATCTCATTTCATATAAGTATTTTAAAAGTTTTAAAAAACTGTAAAATGAGCAAACTTAAATAGTAGATGTTAGGTCAAAGGGGGAGCCACCTTGTCCAGGGGTTACATCCCTCTACTACCTGTCTTCAGCAGACCACATGTTGCCCCTAAACTCAGATTATATAAGGCCGGGACCCTGCCTCCAGGTGGAACCGACTCTGTGCTGTAATTCATGCTCCCTGCTCCCTGCTGGATCAGGCTGAAGCCAGACTCCGGCCGAGAAAACCTCCTCGCTTAACTCCTACCGATGCCCTTCCCTGCTTTCCCTACTTCTCTTCTGAAGACACTTCAATAAATCAAAAAGTCTACAAGTCATAAGTGCTGGAGAGGGTGCAGAGAAAAGGGAACCCTCCTACGTGGTTGGTGGGAATGTAAATTGGAGCAGACACTATGGAGAACAGCATAGAGGTTCCTTAAAAAAAAAAATTAAAAAAATAGAACTGCCATATGATCCAGCAATTTCACTCCTGGGCATAAATCCAGAGAAAACGATATAATTCAAAAAGATACATGCACCTCAATGTTCATAGCAGCACTTATAATAGCCAAGACATGAAATAACCTAAGTGTTATCAACAGATGAATGGATAAAGATATGGTATATATACATACATATATATAAATACACACACAACTGAATATTATTCAGTCATAAAAAGAATGAAATAATGTCATTTCCAGCAACATGGATGGACCTAGAGATTATCATACTAAATTAAGTCAGACAGAAAGAGACAAATATTATATGATATCACTTATTTGCAGAATCTTAAAAAAATATACAAATAGATTTATTTACAAAACAAACTCACATACATAGAAAACGAACTTATAGTTACCAACGGGGAAAGTGGAGGGAGGGATAAATTATGAGGCTGGGATTAACATATATATATATATATATATATATATATACACACACTATACATAAAATAGACAACCAATAAAGATCTGCTATATAGCACAGGGAACTAAATATTTTATGATAACCTATAAGGGAAAAGAATATGAAAAAGAACATATACACACACACACACATTTGTATGTATGTATAACTGAATCCTGAATCACTTTGCTGAACACCTGAAACTAACAGGACTTTGTAAATCAACTATACTTCAATAATTTTATTAAAGCAATAAGTAAATAAATTGCTTCCATAAGAACGTCTCCCTCAGACTCTGCTTCCAGGGAACCAGACCTAAAATCCTGTATGGTACTATTTTCCTTAAATGGAGGATTCATCTCACTAGTACTTCGTCTACAAACGGGAAAGAACCTAGGCAATTCTGAATTGTTCCTTACTGTCTGATTTTAACAGTTCTGTTGAGGAAACTTGCATTTCTATATGTGAGCCAAAAGCCACTAGGATAAACAGTTCAATTGAACAAAACCAGTTTATAGTGTTCATAGCAGTCTGCTTAGTTCAGAAAGCAAGGACCTACATGGATGTGTGGTGTTTGGATGATCCCCCTGATGAACATGCCCATGCTTACCTTCACGGGGGCTGCATATTCCAAAAACAAGGTCATCCTCAATGTGCTGCAGAATGTCAAAATTCTCAACATAAAAAACCATCTCCGGCCTCCCGCTGATCTCCTCCAGCTGGGTGACGTTGGAGCCAAACACGCCTACAGAGTAGATAATGATGCCTTCTTCCCGAAGGGCCATCGCTGGGTCCTTGACTATGTCCTGAGCCTCACCATCTGTGATGAGGATGAGGAATTTCCTGACGTTGGGCCGGGCTCCCTTGGCAGGGCTGAAGTACTGAGACACGAAGGTCAGGGCGCTCCCCGTCAAGGTGGTTTCTCCAATGTGAGCCATTCGGTCTATTGCATCTGAAATTTCCCCCTGGGATGTGTATCTGTTGAGCTGAAACTCTTCCTTATTGATGTTGCTGAACTGGACCACTCCGATTTGCACTCCATCTGCCCTGATCTGAGATTTGCTCACCAGGTTTTTCATAAATGTTTTCATTTTGATGAAGTTCTCTAGTCCTATACTGCCAGAACTGTCCACCAAAAACATGATGTCGGCCTTCATCTCTTTGCAGGCTGCATGGGAGAAAGGAGATGGACTATTCAAGGCGGTTTCATGTGAAAAGAGGAAGAGTGAACAGGAAAATCTAAGACAAACAATTCTATACGAAGTTAAGTGTGTGTTGCTAAGTGTAGTTAGCAGATAAATAAAGCATTGAAGATGATGAAGGGGAGCCTATTCTCTTTATTATTTATTGATTTGCTTTAACATATAACACAGGCCTTCTCAACCTCAGCACGGCTGACATTGTGGTTGGAAAGTTTGTACTGTGGAAGGAAATCCACACACTGTAGGATGCTGAAGAATGGTTAGCAGGATCCCTGTACTCTATTAGATGCCATTAGCACCCCCCAAGGCTATGGTTTTTCCAGTGGTCATGTATGGATGTGAGAGTTGGACTGTGAAGAAAGCTGAGCACTGAAGAACTGATGCTTTTGAACTGTGGTGTTGGAGAAGACTCTTGAGAGTCCCCTGGACTGCAAGGAGATCCAACCAGTCCATCCTAAAGGAGATCAGTCCTGGGTGTTCATTGGAAGGACTGATGCTGAAGCTGAAACTCCAATACTTTGGCCACCTGATGCGAAGAGCTGACTCATTGGAAAAGACCCTGATGCTGGGAGGGATTGGGGCAGGAGGAGAAGGGGACGACAGAGGATGAGATGGTTGGATGGTATCACCAACTCAATGGACATGAGTTTGAGTAAACTCTGGGAGTTGATGGACAGGGAGGCCTGGCGTGCTGTGATTCATGGGGTCACAAAGAGTCAGACACAACTGAACGACTGAACTGAACTGAGTATCCCCCCAATGATGACCACCACAAGTAAATGTCTCTAGACATTTCTAACCATCCCCTAAGGGACAAAATCACCCCTGGTTGAAAACTACTGATCTAACTCTGGAAGATTTCATACAACTTTCATTAAAAAGTGCTTTAAATAAATCCAAAATAATCCTTAAAATCAGAAATCATTTGATCATATTACACATGCAGTGGTCTAATCATAGATCTATCCTCACAGGAATTTGTGGCGAGACACTAATTAATATTTATTAGAAGCCAGTTAACTAGCACTCCCCCCCGTTATGACCAGCAACAGTGTCTTTAGACACTGCAATATCTTTAGACATTGCTAACTATACCCTGGTGGGGGAAAGTCACCCCTGGTTGAAAATTACTTACCTAGGTTTAGAAGATTTCATATAAGCTTCATTAAAAAGCAACTTAAATAAACATAAAATACTCTTTTTACACATCAGGTAATAGAGCAATACTATAATGGGTCCTCCGTTTTCTTCTGGAGAATAAACAGCTCCACAAAATCAAGAAATTTCAGCTGGGATATTTACGCCCTTTCTCTACACCTGCAAAGTCAAATACTGAAGGGTGCAGAAGCCAACTATATAGAATGGAGAAACAGCAAGGTCCTACTGCATAGCGCAGGGAGCTATACCATAAATGGAGAAGAATATGAAAAAGAATGTCTATATATGTGTAATTGCACAGCAGAAGTTGACAGAAGACTGTAAATCGACTATATTTCAACAAGCAATTTAAGAAAATACTGCAGGGAGGCAGTTTGGGAGCTGAAGTCCAAAGGTAAGGAGTCCTACCTTCTTCAGCACAGATTTCTTGAACAACCTGGTTTCTTATGTCTTTCAAGGCATCAAAGTCATGCACGTAGTAGACATGCTTCTCCTCGCCGGCGATTTCGCGCAGCTGAGTCTGGTTGGCCTCTCTGACCCCGATGGCATAGACGTGGACGAGCTCGTCTCTCAGCCTGCTGGCGGGCCCCAAGACGCTGTCCCGGGACGCGCCGTTGGTCAGCACAATGAGGTGGCAGGGCACTCTGCCTCCCCGCTGCCGCTTTGCCTTCTGCAGCAGCCCCAGGGTGAAGTTCAGGGCGGCGCCCGTGTTCCTGTTCCCGCCCATCTGCCTGATGTTCTCAATGGCCTTCCCGACATCGTGCTTGTTCGTGTACTTACTGATCTCAAATTCCAAGTCCCAGCGGCCGGCGTACTGGACAGCCCCTACCCGCACCTTTTGGGGAGCGATGTTGAACATCCCCGCCACCTCTGACAGGAAGGTCTTCATCTCCTGGAAGTCTGTGGCCTGCGTGCTCCCGGAGCCATCGATGAGCAGGTAGATGTCTGCTTCCTCCGTGTCCACACAACCTAAAACGCAACCCGAAACTGAACACAGCATCTGGGCAAGTGGGGCAGAGACCCGGGGGCAGGAGAGAGGAAGGGCCAACGCCGGCCTCACCAGACAGAAAACAGGGAAACAGCTTCTTAGTGGGAAGGACCTGTTCTGCTGTCCTCTCCGGGGAGCCTTAGCATGGGTGGGTCAGCTGTGTGTGATAGTTTAAGACGATTTGCATCCAGAATCGGAGTCCATTTGGATGTAGGAAAAGATCAGAAAGAAATCTTGAAGACACTGTCTACAAGTCGCTTCTCTTACCAGAGAGCGACTGCTTAGCAAAAGGTCAGGTGGTGTTCTGTTAACTAAAGAAGGCATTTTACTGGACTTGGTGGACATAGGAGTTATTTACTCCTCATCCACGGCTGCTCAATTAACACAACAGGGGTATTGTCAGGGGCCTCTTTTACACTGGGCAATGACACTTCTGGGATCAACATACTATAAATATACGTTGAAGGATGCAGACATATGTAAATCTTGTGTATGCACACATCATTTATGTAGCATACATGCCCATGTATGAAATATACAAGTACCTTGCTCTCTGTCTCCCTCTAAACTCACTGATACTACAATAGTACTTCCCAGTAAATTCATTACCCTGTCCAGTCCAGATCATGCTTCCTGTGTATTCTCTAAGTTGGAATTTGAGGCTAGGGAAGGAGAGAAGGGAGAGAAAATTCCACACACAAAAAGAAACTAAGGAAAGAGCAGAGAAACACAAGAGGCAAAGGCAAGAAAGGAAGCAGGGCAGGGGGAGAAATAGCTAAGGAAGGTGTTCCGGGGTGTCAAGAAATAATGAAGAACATAAGTAAAGCTGCACAAAAGAGGAAATTAAAAAAAAAATCTCTTCTTCCCATTCCAACACCTCAATAGCTTTTATTCTCCCCCAATTTACATTTCCTATTATTGGTTAAATTAAATAATTAAATTATTGGGTTAAATTAAAAAGCCAGGAATTCAACCCTCTCTCCCTGTGTCGCACCCACCAAGCCCTTGTGCAGACAGAACACCTGCAAGACAAGAAAAAGAGCAATAGGATGAGACTACTCCTGCAAGAGGCTTTACCGGCTTTGAGGGTTTCGGTCCTTTCGGAAATGACAGAGACCGTGTGTGTGATCTGATTCCGCAGCTTCTTCAGAAACGTCTGGTTGTGGGCAGCCAGGTCAGAGAAGGACTTCAGCTGGGACACATACTGCTCGGCGGGGTGAGATGCAATCTTCTCCAGCTGGGTGTCGCTGGCCCCCTCTACGCCAATGGTGAAGACGGTCACCCCCTGGCGCCGGAGGTTCACAGCGGCCTTGGTCACATTGTCCTGGGATGGGCTGTGGGTCACGAGCACGGCGATCTGCGGCACCCCCTGGTTCTTCCGACTGCCGTGCTGCACGCTGAAGACTTCCTTCCTGATCTTTCTCAGGGCGGCTCCAGTGTAGGCCTTCCCGGCCTGGGGAGCAAGGCTCTGGATGTCCTGCAGAACCTCCGATTTGTTTACACCCCTGCTCAGGGTGCTAATCACCTTCGTCTCATTGGCATAGGCCACAAGGCCAACCCTCATGCAGTTTTCCTTGATGTCCAGAGCAGATATGCTTTCTTCCAGGAATTCTTTAAGATAGTCAAAGTCCTCCCAGCTGCTGTTGGTGGACATATCCAACAGGAACACAACGTCAGCCACGGAAGGGCCTTGGCAAACTGCAGGCGAGGAATGAACAGGCAGAGTTTTAATTCAGCATCTCTGTTCGGCATTAAAGACACGTGGAATTATGAGCAATTATATAGGATGCACATAGAATAACCAAGCAATTAGAGCTCGGTTATGCACTTAAAGAAGGAAGGAGGTATCCAAACTGATGATGAAGCTGAGATCAAGGGGTCCTGGGCACAAGAACGGGATCTTAGCTCACCTCCCGGCTTCAGTTTCTACATCTGTAACATACAGGTAACAAGAATATTGATCTCATAGAGTTGCACGGATTAAATGAGATCATGTCAAGTTTAGCGTGGGGACTGGCACATAAAAAGTCACTCAGTTAACAGAAGCTGCTATTGTGTTCAAATCAACTACTAAAACCAGCAGTTATAGTCCAAACATTCTTAAAGGATGGAGAAGTAATAGCAGTTGATGTTCTAATATTTTATCTGGGGAAAACGCTAGTAATAAGATTTCATATTTTCTTAGATTACTACAAGAAAGCATTCTCTATTGTCAATATATGTCACTTCACTCTGACAACCAGACATAATGTGAGTTTATTATGTCACTTGTCTGGACTTGTACACTTAGAGCAAAGTTTTGCTTTTTTGTTTTTACCAGCTCTCCCCTGTCCCTATCTTGAGTGATGTTCATAAACACTTGGCCATCCTTGCTAATAGAACAGTACAAGGGGACAGACCAAGAGAGCAGGTTGGAGTTGGAGCAGAGCACGGGAAGGCTGATTTAGAACAGAGCTGCAGGAAAGAGCAAGTGTGGGGCTGAACCCACCCAGGTGTGGCTCTGACTCCAGACCACAGCCTGGCCTAGGGCCAGGTCATATCGCCTCCAAGAGCGCCTGCAGCTTCCTCTCTTTGGAACAGAGGTTTTGGACTCCCTGAAGTTGTTTCAAGCTGTAACCATCTGTGATGACTTTACTTGGCTTCAGGAATTAAGGATTTCTTTAGGAGCAAGTTGTCCTCTTAAATGAACCAGAAGTGAAGCTACATAGCAGCTGAAGCCCAGGGAGAAAGCTCAGACAGCTGGGTGGCAGGGAGGAGGCAGCCTATAAACAGTAGGCAGTGAGATAAGTGAAACATGGAAAACCAAGGCTTCCCAAGTTTACTGGATTAAAAAGGCCACAATCGTGGGGCATGCAGAAATTAACACCTGAAAATGCAGCTCAGCTTTTGGGGAAAGAGATGCTCACAGAGTCTGCATCCTTTCCTCATGTTGATTTTCTGAAAGTATTTTATCATCATGGTCCCTACACAGGCGCCCTGACCCACCTTCCACAAGGACGTCATTGAGTGCCCCGTCCTTGTATTGAGCTGCATCCTTGAGAATCTGTGTCATGTTCTGGGAGAACGTGCTGAGGTCCCTGACCGTCCGGAGGCTGTAGTGGAACTGGCCCGTGGCCATGGCCTTCAGGGTCTTCTCAGACGCCCCCTGCATCCCCACGGAGACGATCCTCACCCCATTTTTGCGCAGCGTTTCAGCGGCCTCTTCCACAGCATCTTCGGACTCGGCGGAAGCCAGGACCACCAGGATCGGGGGAAACTGTTTCTTGTCCCTCCCGCTGGAGAAGTAGGCCCTGTGGACCTCCTGGAGAGCATTCCCAATTCGCAAGGAGCCCCCCAGGAACTCGAAGTTCTTCTTGATGTGATTCAACATGGGGCCCCTGCTCTTGAAGGCACTGAGCTGGAACTCTACGTGGAGCCCGTTGCTGTACTGGGCCAGGCCCACGTGGTATTTGTCAGCCTCTATGGGGAGGCTGCTGATCATCTTGTTGATGAAGGCCTTCACAAATGGGAAGGACTTAATTCCCAGGCGGTCGGAGCTGTCCACCAGAAACACCACATCAGCATACTCCGGACCTACAAACCCACAGACAAACACAATGAAAGCAAACTTCAAACATTTACTGCCAAGTTTAATGCCAACCATATGGGAAAAACTTACTTCCCTCTTTTACTTGCATTTGTAATATCTTTCCAATGCACTGAAAATAATACATATTGTCTCAAGAGAAGTATTTGTTTCTTAGGCTAATTCTTTTATAAGCCTTCTCATTTGAACTGATCATGAAATTAAGCAACACTTTTGCAAGGAATTAAGTAGAAATAGCTACATATAAAGAAGTAAAATATCATGGGTTTTTATATGTTTAGTGGATAATTTCCCTTTGTGTCCTTTTCTTCTTTCAGAATTTGACCTCAGTTTATAGCAACAAGATAAACAGTTTCATTGCGAATGAATTAAATTTGTTGAATGGAGAAAACTGAAAAAAATAGCCTTTCATTTTGACTTATTTTTTAAACAATACAAGTGACCTAATTAACTTATAAACATATTGGTTTTGTATTCAAAGTGTCAAACTGATGAGTTTTTAAAAATCCTAAAAATCATAAATATGAGATGTATTAATCTATCTTAAGTTTATTTACGATATTTTTTGATGAGTCGAGTGGGCATTATAATTGGTAAATTTATTCTCACATATGAAAAGTGTGACAGAAACCAGTATACCTTAAGCTAGGAAAGAGATTATAGTTAAGTTTCTATTGATAATGTAATTTTTACATAGGAATGAATATTTTGCTGAGCTTTTAAGGCTTCATTCAATGCCAGATTGAATGTTAGGTATGTGAAACTATATTTGTATGTGATAGAGAAGCATTTGGTTCAAGCACAAAATATAATTTGTTGGTGGTTTGTCTGCTAGCTTGAATTCAGAGTTCTCATGACTGTAATATAAGATCCATTTCTTGTCCAGGGAAGGGAGGGACATACCTGTGTGTGTCTGGATGTTTTATGTTTAAGAAAACATAGTGAAACTGAACAAGCAACCTGAGTCCTGACTTTGTTATCAGCTAATTCTCCCAGCTCTAACAAGCCATTTGACATACTTGGGCCTCAATTTTCTCATAATTAAAATGGGTAGATTCAACTAGAAAATATCTAAGGTCTCTCTTTACTCTGATATTCTGATTATCTGAAATAGTTACTATATAAATTCTGATCAAATGAAAGGAACTTCAATTTTTTCCTGTCGACAACTGCTGGGAAAACAGCCTTGGTACCCCTGCATGTTAGTTCATTCTCTTTAGAGAAGTCCAATCAAGGCATAATGGATACCAATCGTCCTTTCTTTTCTTCTAAGCAACCTGATTTCAGCTAGTTTGAGATTCCTTTGATGATCATACATCCAGCAGCATCTCCGGGAAAACACTAAGTGAGGGGGAGCCAACGCGAGAAGGCTGGGACCCCTCCGAGGACGGTCAGGTGAGGACTGCCTAGGGTGGCTCAACTTTCTATTCATAGACAAACCCCCACGTCTGTGTGGAGGAAAGAAATGCAGCCACTGGCACAGGAGACATATTTAGGTTTTAACCAGGCCCATCACTCTATCTGAACCATGGAACTGGAGAAAAAGCATCGCCTCTTTGAAAAGCTTAATATCAGGCCCAGTGAGACATCAAAGGAATATGTTTTCAGGGCAGAGAATTTACCTCTCCAGAAAACTTGCTTCCAAGGTCAGAGTCCTTGGGAAAACAAAACAAAACAAAACAAAACTGTAAAACCAATCTAGGTGGCCCTGGACGTGAAGTGGCTGATCTTTTAGGAGGTGGTAAGGGCCGTGAAGGCTTGACCAGTATTTTGACTTCAAGTCCATTGGACGTAGACTGCTGACAGACAGTGGACAGCTCTGAAGTTCCCTCTTCAGGGTAAAAGCACCTGCTTTACCATCAGCAGACACACAGTTTAAACTGGAGCCAAATCTGGATGTTTGACCAAGACAAATATTTTGGAACAAACAAAATAGGAAGAGACATTTCAAATTTTCCTTAGCCTGACCTTAATGTGAAAAGAGAAGGTTGCACATGAAAATGCAACCTCCCAGAAGACCTAGAAGAAGCTGAAACTGAGGACAAGAAAACAGCTGTCATATCTTTTTATCGTGAAGAGGGAATAAACCCCAGAAACAAATGATTTTCAGAGGAACATGGGGTGACATCAAAGAAATTGAGCTACCACTCCCCCCACCCTCACCATCATCACAGTCAAAACAAAACAAAACTCTTATATTTTAAGCAAGTCAGACTCATATATTATCTATTTTCCATAATGAGAATTAAGGAAATTAATTCCTTTCATTATTTTCCTTACCAGAATGTTGGTTGACAGAAACATGGGAACAAATTATTATAAGGAACAAAATGAGCAGCATTTTCATATTTTAACCTGAAAAATCGCCAACTGGAAATCTGAAAAGGCAAAAACATAAACATCTAAAATTGTTGTGGATATTACTTAGAAATCAAGACTCACACACATATGAGCACACAAAATTACATGATAAATTCGCTACAGCAGAAGACAAGGAATTTCTGAGGTTCCCTGACTATTTGATCTGTGCTTTGTGGAAAAAATGAACCGCCAACATTTACAACATTTACAGAATCATAAAAAAGTTTCTTCTGGTCCCCAGACCCTGTAGAAACATGAGATTTTGGATAGCCAGTGGAAGTAGCCAGATGCATTCTAGTTCCACCAATATTATGTGTTCCTAGTAATTATTTTCCCCAGTCTTAGCCTCTGTCCACTCATTGCACAGACAATTTAGAGTTCACAGTTGGGACACAGTCTAAGGCCTGACTTGTAATTTTTCCATCATGAACATGTAGGTATGTTTCATATTTGAGAAGTATTTATAGATGTGGTCAAAATCTTCTTTACTCCTTTTCTTACATAATTAGCAAGTAACCATTTCCCTTTATTCTTAGATTTGAGAGAAGACATAAAGAAATAAGTAGTGATCCTCCCTATCCCATATGATGTCTTGCTCCTCAGAATGACACAATTTGTACCATTTTGCTTCCAATTACTTATAACCATATGAATCAAGGGCTTTCTGATTCTAATTTGGCCTAAAACATTTTCAGCCACCTTGAATTTTCATTTCATTGGATAAAATAGGATATTGAAGATATTGACAATAAATCTGGTAATTAAGCAGGTTGGGCTCAGTCATCCACTCATTCACCCACTGAATGAAAAATGAATTGATCCATGATAATAAACTAGCACTTCTCTTTTCTGCTTAATTCTTACCCAAACATGTGTTTGATACATGTGGCTATGGCTATCTCATTCCTTTGTCAGGCAGTCTCCTATTGTGTAATATTTTACCCTTTCAGAAAATGGACCTTTGCCACAAAAAATTCCATCACCATTTCCTCACCTACTCCATCGTCCCTCTGACATTCTGGAATTTGGGATTCTGTTCTTTCCTTCATAGGAACTTTGGATGATATAAACTTTTCAGGCTGAGTCAGTTTAAACTGACTGTTTAAAGTCAGATAAACTGACTTTTGAGTCAGTTTATCCGTTCTGTTTCAGAGGAAATCAGGAAGCTGGAAGGGGCACTTAAGAGGTTATTTTCAGACCATCTTTTCATTAAGAGAAAGTTTAGCCCAAACGTGGATTGCCCAAAGTGAAAATTAAGTCATACTCTGTACAGATTCTCAGGTCGGCCTTGACCATGTAGCATGCCCTGTCCCAGCAGCTTTACACGTGTTCTCCTGTTTGATATTGATGGCAAACCTATAAGCAGGTCATCTTATTGTCCCTATTTTGCAGGTAAGGAAGCAGCTTCATAAAGGGGAATGTGATTCAAGATGACATGGATAAAATGGTAAGACTAAAACCCAAATCACTCTGATTCGAAATCCGGACGGTGGTACTCAGTTCCTCTGCATCCCAAACTAATAATGTTTTTCTAAAATTTATCTTATTGAAGAATAGCTGATTTACAATATTGTGTCAATTTCTGATACACAGCAAAATGATTCAGTTATATATAAATATATTCTTATCCTTTTTCCATTAAGGTTTATTGAACCATAATGCTTTACAGTAGGGCCTTGTTGTTTATTCATTCTATATACAACACCAAAAAATATCATCAACACAAAAAGTGTCTCCAAGTTTTTGGTTCTGTGTCTGTTTTTTCCTAAGTATTAGGGGATAGATCCTGGTATTTGTTTCCATGCCTTTTTATTTCTGCTTTTCAAATCAGAGCTTTATGTCGCTCACTTCTCATCTGTTTACATTATGAAATTTATAAACGAGTGCTATCTTTAGGAGTTATGAGAGATAAGAGAAGCTTTAGGTTGCTCAAGAGGATAAATAACAAAGATGGAAGAAAATAGTACTGAATGCAAGTTAAGACCTGGATAGAAAAATGAGGGTCAGTTAGGAAGGACACAAACAGCATGCAGCATCTGGACATTTCCCCACGCAGGTGGTCAATACTGTCATCGTCCAGTCACTACGTCGTGTTCTGACTCTGCGGGCCCATGGACTATAGCACACCAGGCTTCCCTGTCCTTCACTGTCTCCCAGAGTTTGCTCAAACTCACGTCCATTGACTCAGTGATGTCATCCAACCATCTCATCCTCTGTCACCCCCTTCTCCTCTTGCCTTCAATCTTTCCCAGCATCAGACTCTTTTCCAATGAGTCAACTCTTCACATCAAGTGGCCAAAATATTGGAACTGCAGCTTTAGCAGCAGTCTTACCAAATGAATATTCGGGGTAGATTTCCTTTAGGATTGATTGGTTTGATTCAACCAACCCGGGATTTCACATGATGTACTCTGCATGTAAGTTAAATAAACAGGATTACAATAAACAGCCTTGATGTACTACTTTCCCAATTTGGAACCAGTCCATTCATTGCTCTGTGTCTGGTTCTAGCTGTTGCTTCTTGGCCTGCATACAGGTTTCTCAGAAGACTGATAGTCCCATCTCTTTAAGAATTTTCCACAGTTTGTTGCGATCTACACAGTCAAAGACTTTAGCGTAGTCAGTGAAGCAGAAGTGTTTCCTGGAACTCCAGTGCTTTCCCTACAACATCGACAGATGTTGGCAATTTGATCTCTGTTTCCTCTGCCTTTCTAAAATTCAGGTTATACATCTGGAAGTTCTCGGTTCTTGTACTGTTGAAACCTAGCTTGAAGGATTTTGAGCATTACCTTGCTAGCATATGAAGTGAGCGCAACTGAATGGTAGTTTAAACATTCTTTGGCATTGCCTTTCTTTGGGATTGGAATGAAAACTGACCTTTTCCAGTCTTGTGGCCACTGCTGAGTTTTCCAAATTTTCTGGCATATTTAGTACAACACTTTCACAGCATCATCTTTTAGGATTTGAAATAGCTCAGCTGGAATTCCATCTCCTCCCCTAGCTTTGTTCGTAGTGATGCTTCCTAAGGCCCACTTGACTTCACAGTCCAGGATATCTGGCTCTAGGTGAGTGATCACACCAACATGGTCATCCAGGTCATTGAGACCTTTTTTTTTTGCATAGTTTTTCCGTGTATTCTTGCCACCTCTGCTTAATATCTTCTGCTTCTGTTAGAATCTTCTGTAATATCTTCTCCTTCTTGGTCCTGTCCTTTATTGTGTCCATCTTTGCATGAAATGTTTTCTTGGTGTCTCTGATTTTCTTGAAGAGATCTATAGTCTTTCCTATTCTATTGTTTTCCTCTATTTCTTTGCATCGTTCTCTTAAGAAAGCACTCTTATCTCTCCCTGCTATTCTCTGTAACTCTGCATTCAGTGGGTTTATCTTTCCCTTCCTCCTTCAGCTCTTGCTTCTCTCCTTTGTTTAGCTTTTGTAAGCCCTCATCAGACAGCTACTTTGTTTACTTGCATTTCTTTTTCTTGGGGATGGTTTCGGTCACCACCTCCTGTACAATGTTATGAACCTCAGGCCATAGTTCTTCAGGCACTCTGTCTATCATATCTAATTCTTTGAATCTACTCATCACCTCCACTGTATAATTGTAAGGATTTGATTTAGGTCACACCTGAATGGCCTAGTGGTTTTCCCTACTTTCTTCAATTTAAGCCCAAATCTTATCAAAAGGAGCTTATGAGCTGAGCCACCCTCAGCTCCAGGTCTTGTTTTTGCTGACTCTATAGAGCTTCTCCATCTTCAGCTGCAAAGAATATGATCAATCTGATTTTGGTATTGACCATCTGGTGATGTCCATGTGTAGATTGTCCTTGTATTGTTGGAAGAGGGTGTTTGCCATGACCAGTACATTCTCTTGGCAAAACTCTGTTAGCCTTTGCCCTGCTTCATTTTGTACTCCAAGGCCTAACTTGCTTATTATTCTAGGTATCTTTTGACTTCCTATTTTTGCATTATAATCCCCCGCTATGAAAAGGACATCTCTCTTTTTTTGGTGTTAGTTCTAGAAGGTAGCTCTTCATAGAACCATTCAACTTCAGCTTCTCCCACATTAGTGGTAAGGCATAGACTTGGATTACTGTGATGCTGAGTGGTTTGCCTTGGAAATTAATTGAGATCATTCTGCTGTTTTTGAGATTGCACCGAAGTACTGCATTTCAGTCTTTTTGTTGACTATGAGGGCTACTCCATGTCTTCTAAGGGACACTTGCCCACAGTAGTCGATATGATGGCCATATGAATTAAATTCACCCATTCCTGTCCACTTTAGCTCACCGATTCCTAAGATGTCAATGTTCAATCTTACCATCTCCTGAAAAGTTGAGTTCTTTCAGATAGCATCTTGTTAAACAATTTTTTGAAACTTTAAATGGAATGCAAAACCTAGTGTACTGTAAGGCTACAATGTGGAAACCAGTGGAAGGGGCTCTTGGGGTTTTACGTGCACTGCTCTGTGAGTGAGAAAGCATACAAGGGGCCAGTACGGACAGCAGGAAGATGAAATCTCTAAGTCAGTGCAGGGTAAGCCTGGGTCCATTTTTACCACATGGTGGATTGCCTACAATCTGTATGTTGTTCTTTTACCAGACATGATCAGGATTTACATTCTTAAATGTTTAAAATACGTAATTATTTAAAACCAAAGTTGTAAATACTCAAAGAAATGAGGGGAGAACAAAGGAGATGGTATTTAGAGTAATAACATAACATAAAACTTAAATTCATGGTGCACCCAATGTTAATATAGCAGTAGTCTGATCACTTCTTATTTTAGAAACAGTCTCAAAAGTACAAATCTCTTTAATCAGAATTTTTAGTACTCCATTCATTCTGATTTGGGCAAACTGGGCTAATATACCTTTTCCAAAATCATACATTTTAAGAAAAACCTTAAAAAATTTGGATCTCAAAACCTTGAGCATAATACCCTCAAGGTCCATCCAGGTGGTTGCAAATGGCAAGGTTCCACTGTTT